TATAATTAAAATATAATAATATAAAAAAAATAATATACAAAATACTAAATCAAATTTTCCAGATATGTTTCGTGTTGAGTTTACTCTGAGTTTAGTAATCTGAAACTAATTTAGATTGACCTGAACTCAATTCAAAAAAATTCATGTCATATTCAAATTTAATATTTTAGGCCGACAATTCATTTGTTACTCATAGCTCAACCTAATAAAAACACGATTCGAAAATATAAATTGACGGACATCTTACATTGTAACAAGTCCAGTTGGTCCGGTCCAGACTAATATATTTTTATAATATTTTTACTTTATTTTATATTTTTTTAATCCAATAGTAAAGTTGGTCCCAACTTGTCTTAGTTGGGACCCACCAAAATTCCAAACACTGTGTCAATTTTATAACAGATTTTGTTCTGAGATGGGAAAAAAATATATTGGGCCGAATCCAACCTGCCAAGCCTACAACATTACTAACTAAAAGATTTTATTATTATTATTATTATTATTATTATTATTATTTGTATTTGTCACACTAAAAAAAGTAAACCCTCAATCTAAGATAAAATGGACGCATTACCGTATATACAAAAATTTAAGTAAAAATATAATTATTAAATAATTAATAAGTGTATTAATAAAAATAATTATTATTTAGTAAAAATAATTATAAATTAAAATTAAGATAACTAAATAATTTAATTAAGATTAAAAGAAATTTTCAATTTTCAATTTTAAAATATGATTAAAGTATATAATCAATTTTTCAAAAAAAAAAATAAAATGACAAATTACATAGGACAGATGAAAATAAAAAATAGAGATAAATTATGTGGGACGAAGAGAGTATTTACTTTTATTATAATAAAAGTACTTATACACAAATAATGAAATATTTTTTTAATTTTTATATAAATTACAAACACATAATCACACATTCAATTAATTATATATAAAATACAAAGAACAAAAAATACTAAAATCATCTTGCACATTTTTATTAATCAATAAAATATTACTCCCTTCGTCCAACTAAAAAGTATATATATTTCTATTTTGGGACGTCCAATAAACATTTCATTAAATATCTTACTTTTTTCCATAAATACTTTTACTTTATATCACATCATTATTTTCACACCAAAAAGTAAGGGCAAAAATATCATTACACTACTTTTAACTACCCACTGTAATTAAAATACTATTATTTCTTAAATACCGCGCCAAAAGTAAATGTATACTTTATATGTGGATGGAGGGAGTATTATTTTTTAATCTATTATAAAATTCAAATTATCCTTTAATTGAGATGAATAAAATATTATATTCCAAATAATATGTTCGATTGAAGGTAGTGGTGTAAGGATGAACTCATCATATGAGGTTTTAAGTTCAAATCCATTGTTTGAAATTTGCTTGAGGAGAGTTATCAATGAGCTCATTTGATAAAGATTGGATTTTTATGTTCACTGCCTAATGGGCTAATAGCAAGATAAGATGTATGCTCTATCCATCCATTTTTCTATAGGTTTATTGCAATAATTGAAAACATAATAATCGATTCAATGCGAAATAAAATTCAAAGAATCGAAAATAAAATGAACTTCAAGAACATACATCCGGCAATTGGTGTCAAATTCGAATACAATATTGTTTTTGATCTTCTAATCAGGGCTCTGATACCAAAGTTACAGATTGAGTCAACTCAACACTAGTATGATATTGTCCCTCTTGGGCTGAGCCCACACAAATTTGTTTTTGGATATTTTTTAAAATGCCTCGTACTAATGGAGTTCACTTAGAATTTATAAAGTGTGTAATTTTTTTCACAAATAGTAATGACTTTTCATATAGATATATTGCTTCACATATATTATATTAATATTTAGTAGTGAAATAGTAAAATCTTTTTGCATAAATCTACTGCTTCACATAAACAGCATAATATTAACAGTAATAATAATTAATATATGTTATCTTTTGAGTTTTCTAAGAATAAATTAAAGGGGGAGGGAGATTCTAATTTGCATCCCATGTTTTTTCTAATTAGACGTAAAGCATTTGAGCTGAAGAAGCTTCCCTTCACAGAATATCCATTTAAACTTTGAATTTGGGTTTTAAGTTTTTAAATAATTGAATTAAATCTTTTGGTTGGAATGATTTTTTAAATACAAATTTGATTTCGAAAATAATATATTAAATAAAATATAAATCTTTGACTGATAGAAAAATCTATTCTAATAACACACAGAAATATAATACACAATTTATTTTAATATAGTATAAATATATAGCATATCAATTTATCAAATAAATATTCTTGTTTCTCATTTTAATAAAAATATAAAATAATAATTAAATTGTGTTTAAATATTTTTTATATTTTTTTTTTTATTAAAATTTGTGTTTAAATACTTAGATACACAATTGAATAACATAAAGAATATTTAGGGACAGCCTGGTGGACCTCGGGTCACGCCTTATAGCCTTATATAGGTGCTGCCATAATATATATACACGACATGTGTGTTTCTTTAGCAAATTTTTTTTTCAAATTTTATTATTTAGATTTTGTGTTTTTAAAAAAAGATATTTTTTTACAAAATATTAATCAAATATTATTATTATTATTATTTCCTATAGAAAGTTTAGGCCAATTTCCATTAGCAGCAGGTTGGAAGAACCAATGCAGTCTTTACATGGAAAATAAACCAAAAGCTAAAACGCATCTGATTCCTAATTATCACCATCATTATTATTCCAACTAATAATTCCTACATGCACACATATATCTCTTTATATATATATATATATATTCTCATTCTTGCAAAGATCATCATCAAGACATCGAATTCTTCACCCAAAAAATCCATATGCAGACAGAGAAAATGGATAAGATATTTGAAAGGCACATCCACAAGAAGCACCACCGCAACCACCGCCCGGAGAACCACCCGCGCCGCCGTGGAGGTGGCGGTGGAGGGCACCGGCCGCCGGATCCCTTCCAGATTTACGAACTCGAGCATATGCCGCCGCCGCTTGTCGAGATTCCGACCGACGTCGGCGGTGACCTTCGTCGTCCCCGCGCCGATTATTACCGGACAGAGACGGCGGAGCCGCCGAAGCAGGAATACGCGCCGCCGGAAAAAGATGAAAGCGGCGGCGGCGGCGGCTATGTCGAGAATTATGTCGATTCCGCCGCCGACGAATTCATCGCCTTAGAGCATCAGAAGTTTGAACTCAGCAAATGGACGTCCACGTCGTCTCTCGCTCTAAATTACTACTAGTTATTGATTAATGCTTTGTCATTTGCTAATTATTGCTGTCTAAATTTATAATAATAATAATAATCATTGTCCAGTACAATTAATAATAATAATAATATTAATAATTGTTGTTGTCGTTATATATTGTCGTTATTTTTCAAATATATCGGTCCGGAACTATAGTCTTGATTGCGTGCATATAATTTAAAAAATATTGATATTATATTGATAGTGAATAAAAAGTATAAGTAAAAGACATTTTTGCCCTTGTGAATGTATTAGTGTAAAAAGTAGTGACAATTGTGTAATAATAATGAAAGAGTAATAGTAGTTATATAGATGATTATTTATGGAAATAAGACTATTGTATTGGGACGGATGAAATATATGTTTTAAAGGCAAAATTGAATAAACTTTATTCGTTATTTTATAGAATTGTGTCATATTTCTTATATTTTTAAAATTGCATTAAAGTTTCTCATGGATTCATAAATTTTTTGTTTAACTCCGTCGGTCATCTTTATTTAACAATGTTTGACATGTTTACGCCTCAAAATAAGAATGATTTCAATATCTCAATTTCTAAAACTCTTAGAATTACAAAAATATTCATTAGCCTCGAGAAAACTAAAAAAACAATCTTAGAACCAACAAAAAATAACTATTTCTTAAATATTTTTATTGTTCCTTAAAGCTAAATATAAGAAGAATAATTATATTTATTGATTCTGAAACTCATTAAAAATGAAGACGGCCGAGGGTTAGACTAAGAGGGTGTTTGGGAAATATTGTTTTGAAAAGCTTTTCGCTTATTGAACAACTTTTAGCTGTTTGACCGGTCAAAAAGCTAATTCAAGTGTTTAGTAAATTAGCTTTTGAAAGAGCTTTTTGAAAGAGCTTTTTGGACCCAGAGAGCTAATTTTTGAAAAGATCATCTACCCAGCATTTTGAAAGAGTTTTTTCATTTTAATTTTGATTATTCTTTATTTACCTTTAAAACTTAATTATTTATTTTATATGTATAAATATATTTTTATAGCAGTATCTATTAATTATTTTTAATATATTTAATTTATTAAATTATATTTTTATTTTTGTAAATTTAAAATAATTACTATTATTAATTATTACATATAAATTATTTTATGTGTAAAATATATAAATTTTTAAATCTAAATCAGATAGAAAAAACAAAGGTTATTACTTTATTTATATATATTAAAACAATCATTAACATAATAAAAAAATATATACGAAAAAATTTATTATTTTATATTTTACATATTTCAATAAAAAATTATTATTTATTAGTAAAAATAATTTTTTAAAATTTAAATAATAAAAATAAGAATAAATATTTTATAATATTTTTATAATTTTCAATAATTAATAACAAAAATTTTCATAAATTTCAAACCAAAATGAACAAAATTAAATATTTTTAAAGATAACATATCAATATCTAGTGTATAAACAACTAATGTCAAACAGTTATTTTACTAAACACTTTAATACTAATTAAATCAGCTAGTCAAACCAGCTAATTGAACTGACAAACTCACCTAAAAGTTAAATCAATTATATTTAAAATGACGACATGGGCTCAAATCTAGTTAATTAATGGGCTTAATTAGTATAGTTTTTGAGTTATACGAAGCCCAACCAGGCCCATCTGTCATGCCCAAATTTTTAAATTTATTTTTATACTTTTAGATAAAACAAATTTCTGTGTAAAGCAGTTCTGAGTTCCCGCCACTACGTTAGGGCTCGAGCCGCCGCGAACTGGAAGATGGCCGGTGCATCTGAGCAAAATGCCTCCGCATTTTCGGCGGCGGAGGTAAGCGTCTTCGGTTTCGTGTTTTTGTTCATCTTTTGAATTGCTGCTGTGCAGCGATTGCTCAGTTTTTGTGTGGAATGTGTACGACGCAGTTGGAGTTTCTTGCTGAGGATGAAATGATCGAGATCGTGCCGAATCTGAGGATGGATCCGCTCAATTTCATCTCTGTAGGATTTTTTAATCCAGATTCATCATACACACACATGTAGATTCATCTGAGTAATTACGTTGTTTGGGTTGATTTTCTCTACGGACAGGGGGATTTTGGCCCTTTTAGGCCACAAATAGCGACTCAGGTTCCACTTTGGTTGGCCGTGGCTTTGAAGAAGAGAGGGAAGTGCACTGTGCGAGCTCCGGAATGGATGTCTGTGGGTGAGTTTGGTAGAACCTGCAATGCTTCTCGCAGTCTAGCCTTCTGAAAATGTCTATACAAAAATCGAATTATGATGTTCTCCTCGAGTAAAATTTGTCATATCACTACTTTCATCTCAGTTGCCATTTTTTATTTCAGATTGATAAATTCGGAGTATGAAGTTAAGTTCATCGCACGATCACAGAACTGCTTAGGCAATTTAGATTACAATGGATTTCAATTATGTGAATTAAATTCTTCCTAGGCCTGTGGATTTGAGTAAACATAGAATGTTAAGTTGTTGTTTTTATGTTCTTTGTATATTCCTCTTCACAGGGCCCATCTTTTCTTTGTGTTCTCGATGGTCGATGAACTATGTGTTAAAATTTAGAAACAATTCTATCTTGATGGTTGAATCAAGAGAGTGTCACATTTGGTTTTCTGTTTTGTAAATAGTTGAGTCAAAGCTGTATATATTCTTTCCTCACTAGTATATTTATGCATTTTTCCTTAGATAATTTATCACGAGTTTTGGAAGCAGAGCGGGATTCTGAGAAGTTTCAGCCCTTGCCATTTCATTATGTAGAAATTTCTAGGCTTTTGTTTGATCAGTAAGTTTTTTTCCTCATGAATACATATACCACATACATACACTTCTATGTATATGTACTCTTGTGTGGAAGGGTTCCTCAATTATTTTCTCTGACGCAGTGCTCGGGAAGACATCCCTGACATATACATGGTTAGACAGATCTTCCTGCGCATCCATGTTGTTTTCTTGGCCAACAATGAGTTCTTAGCTGTTGCTTATTGATTCTCATGCAGGTAAGGTCTCTAATCGAGGACATCAAAGATGTGAGGTTTCACAAAATTGGAACAGGCTTGGAGATTATCTCAAAGGAGCGAACTTATGCATTAAGGGTATGGTATTCTTCACTTATGTGTAATTTTACTGCCAGGCACATTAACTTGTCAATGTATCATTGTTCTGATTCCAAAAACCCCGAAGAACAGTGAAAATGCTCGGCAATGTATGGGTCTCTCTGATATTTACCTGCCAACCGAAATAACAACACATTCTAGTACCATCTCTCTATAATGACATCCATCAGACTTCCATGAGAATATCTTATTATTGTCAAATGTTAAAGACTGATTCTTACGATACTATTACAACAATTTTGGATGACATTCTGTTTACGCCATTCATACTCCTGAAAATTGGCAGCTCAAAAACTTATCTGCTATGGAAGCAAATATTGTGCGTCCATTTGTCACTAAGGCTCTCGAGACTTTTTATAAGCTGAGCAGTTCCGAGATGATACAGGAATCCAACCACATGCCCAACAGACAGCCCCAAGCAACCAATCGTGGACCAAGAGTACGTTACTTTACATGCTTCCCTTATCACTATATTCCCTAGCTATCAATTCAGGCTTGTTCTATATATCTAGTAATTTATCTCAAGAATTTCAAACTTCAAATGAATGCTTGCAATTTAGTCGCTATTTTCAAAGATTGTAGCTTGATTCCAAAGTCCTCATTATGATCATGTTTTGCTATTCAGCGGCAACTGAAAGATCGGTGATCTATTCAAATCTGGAGATGCTGCAAAAGTACCTACAAAAACCCGTCGAACTGGTCAAAATCTCTCATGCTCCAAGCTTGTTATGTGAGTGAGGTATGCTAGTTGTGTTAACAGTTGTGAAAATGTACCATTCTGTGATGTCTTGGCTAAAGCATCCGACTTTACTTCCTTTCAATTCTAGTTAGGTATGCACCTTTTTATTTTGTTGATGAGATGACGATTTTAATCTGTTTTAACAATTATTTATATGTATATGTGAGTATAATTTAATATATGCGTTATGTGTATTTTTATTTTTAATGTTTTTCCTGCATAATTTTGAGTTCTCCTTCACCTGGCCGTGGAAATCTGGACAGCCCTGTGTTACTGTTTTCTTCTCAGTAAAAATCAATCCAATTAAACTAAATTGGATTAATCCCATTACGACTATGGGGCTACAGACCAATTCAGACTCTACTTTGATCAGAACATTACGAGATTTGGACCCAAACAAGAACAAGTTCGAAGGGACAGAGGTACATACACACTACACACACTAGTGAAAGTTTCTGGGCATTAATCTTCAATAGGCTTAGAGAGACAAATAGATTTCATTCCAAGATCTTTACAAAACATTGATCAATTGTAGTGTAGTGTTTATTTGCTTATACACACACATATATGCTATAACTCACTTGCTCGAATTGACCGATGATTCTTTCCTCTGAGAAAACAATGTAAATTGCTATGGAGTTAGTTATTTCTGATTCTACTATATCAATGACTATGAGTGATCTGTTAAGTTGGAAGCATAGATTCGTGTAGACTCATAGTAGGCCTTCTCTGCATTCTCTAATCGTGTTCTGAACATTTTCCATTCTTGTTTACACCTCTGCCTCACCTAAACAAAACAAACGTCGCAGGTTTCTGCATTAGGGAAGATCACATACATACTACAAACAATTGATTGATGCATGGCTACGTACCCCTTGCCATGGAGCCTTTCCTTCTTCAGCTTGTCCCTACAGAGAGGTAAAAAGATTAAAGATTTGATATTGATTTTGATTGCTCTGTTTTACATGATTGCTGAGATGGGATGAAGGGATTGATTGATTACCTGGTTTCCCAATGAAGGGATTGTCTGATGAACGATCCACTGCGCATCGACAACTCCGATTTTCTCATAAGCGGGCTATACCGAGCAAGAGATGATTCGAAAATGAGGATGGATCAGTCACTACAGAGATGGAAAGTTTTTTAAAGTTTCGAGATCATAGTTCGCTTCCTTACTTCGACGCATTGTTGGAGGGCGAAATCCAGACCCCATCCGTGTACCAAGTCGTTCTAAAATGATTCGAGTTACGACAATCAACAGAATGTAAGCTGAGGAATATCCACACATCTGGTTAAAGAACTGACGGTACGAAACAAATGATAGGCACCTGAATCATGTGCCAAACGCATCGCCAGGCGTCCCGGGAAAAGACAGGAGCCATGATTTCTACGAACCTGAGCAAGAACCGTATGATCAGATCGAAAAAAAACAGAGCATTCTGAAATGGTATAGATAAGAATTACATACGCCGCGCACGGCGGCGCTTGTGGGCTCTGGCACCAGCTTGGCTTCTCCTCGGCTTCCCTGCATCCACAAAAGATCCAAAAACATCAACCGTCTGCTCGTCACCGTAAATCATGGAACAGAACGGTACGCATCTCCTTACTTGTGAACTTCATGATCAGCTCGTCGTTTAGTCATCTGCCATGTCGGGTTCCTCTTGGGTTCAAGTCCGGGCTGCGATATTTCTAACCCATGTTTCTTCACAAGCCTCATGTATCTGGAAATTCGGAGCAGATTAGCGTCGAGAGGGATCAACAAGACCCTCCGAGGTAATGAATTTAGGGGAAAACTATTACTCTTCGCCGTTGAAGTTGTCGACTCCGAGGTCCTCGTCCCAGATAAATATGTAGTCGTACGACGCTACAATGTCCGGATGCAAGAATCTCTTGGCGAACCACCTTCGACAAAAACCTCAGCCGGTAACTACAAGAAGTCGCAAAACGGTACGATGAGATTGAGATGTACGTAAGTTCACCATTTCGATTGCTTCATCGCACCGACATGGATCGCTCGTTTGTACCAGTCGAAGCTATCCCACTCGGAAGCTCGTCCGTCGTAGTGAAACAGAAGAACGGTAAAGTTCTCCGAAAACTGCAGCACGAAACACGTGTTATAAGAGATGCATCGATACTCGAAGGTAATATCGAAAGATTTCCCGACCTTTTGCACTGCTTTGTTGATGTTTTCCCTCTGATTGTAGCCTACGGTGAACGTTACGAGATACTTCGGTTTTCTGACCAAGTCCTGTAAGGCGACGAGTTTGAATCTCTGGTTTATATTTTAAGAACGATTCGATCGTAAGAATAAAACATACCTCACTAGGCTTGCCCCAGAGTCTTCGGAGGTAGAAATCCGACTCGGAGACTACGATCCCGGGGGGCAACCGTTCTGCGCCTCTCGGATTCGACGAGATCCAAATCTGCGATTCGAAGAGTATTTAAGGAATCGATCGTAAAATGTGCATTTGAAGATTACGCAACGTACTAACCTTCGATACATCCTTTAATGGTTCGGTTTTGATTTCGCTGCTGCTGTTCTTGGTCGAGTTAGCAACGGCATTGCTACCGATCATCGTGCGATCGTGTAGAAATGTCGATGGAATGCTAAGCTGCCAAATACGGAATTATCGAGCGAGTTTCGAGCAGAGCAGGCAAAAAGCGACGAAAGTGACACTTAAGGTGAGGTTGCGATACCTTGTGTAATGACGGCGACGGGGACAAGACTCCGATGAAGAAGCCGACGGTTATTCCGGCGCAAATGACGACGAGGATTCTCATTGTATCGGTCGATTTCTTCAGTGCACTGATGTAATGAAACACATTATAGTTATATATTGTTCGAATGCAGTTTCTTGTTATGGCAAAGTTTTCGACGTACCTTCGTCCCATGTTCCTCTTTATATACACAACATCCGATTCCATATGTGTATTCCTATCTATTACTATTATCTACGATCAAATGTAATCCAATCCAATTAAATCGAAGTTTGCATCGCCATTAAAGATCTGCAAAAGCACGTAACACCAATACAATAATCAGAACATAATCCAAAACACAATGGATAGATAAACCTCTTCTGTTCTGTTTCTGTTCGATCCTTTTGACATTTCTTGTAATAAAAGTTGTAATGAGAAAATTAAAAGCCATTAGTGATGAATAGAGAGTTGCAAATTCTGACCCGCCATTGATATTTCTCACAATAGCTTAAACCACCCGTAACCCATATCAGAAATTTCAACTCCAAGAGAGAGAGAGACTAGAGGGAGAAACAATTCAAGAACTGCAAACAACAAATCAATCAACAAAAGACAGCAGAAGATTACCTGAATTCAGAAAGGGGGAAAACCCCAAAAATATTCACCAATAGAAAATGGGAGTCTCAAGAAATATATATATATCCGTGTCTGTATATAATTATATGTATATATATGTGTATGTATAATCAGTGAATGCGTGTAAGGTGCTGATCTTCTGCAACGCCAATGGAGGTTCCCCTGCGATCAAAATCGTGAGCAGTGAGTGGAGAATTGTGAGTGGGAAAGGTGTGAGAAAAAGGGGAAAAAGGGAAAGAGGTGCCCTATTTCACTCATGTTTGTGAATATGAATAATGTAATATCCCTCTCCATTATCGTTAATGCTGTTCCAAATTTGCAGGCCCATTGCCATTAATGGATACACTTTTTTAACCCAATTTTGCTGCTCTCCTTTCCATGGATCTTTCAGACCTCCATGGGTTTAATTAGGGTTTCTATTCACCTACAAAATCGGGGAAGACACCTACTAAAAAGATTCGATTTTTACCCTCTCAACTAACTGAACAAGAATCCGTTTACCCTTTCGGAGAAGACAATAAGTTTGTAAGGCATATTCTTAGATGCTATGCTAATTGTTAGGGTTTGATTGAGGGGTATTAGGGTATGGATTAGTACCTCTTTTTTTTTTTCTTTTCTTTTCCTTTTTTTTTTTTTTTTGAAGTTGCATTCATGTTCAATTATTGATGTTTGGAAAAATTGATAAAATATTTGTGATGTGTCTTTTTTTTTGGAGTTTCAATAAAATAGGGTTTAAAATCATCGGGATTAAGTGTTATAGACAATTTAAATGACAATTTAGTTGAAGCTTATAAGTAGGGAATTCAATAATATAAGCATGAGCACTTTAATAATACTATTATAATTAAATTATGTATATGTATTGTGTGGAATTAGTCAAATTGCATAAGTCAAAATGGAATATATATATATATATGCACTTTGATCATTATTGTTAGCAAATAGTGTATATCTTAACAAATTCTTATTTAAAAAGTTCAATTTTCTTAGTATTTTTTCCTCCCTTTTTTTATACAAACAATTTATCTATAAAAAGATTATCCCTCCGTCCCGCATACCACCGTGTGCACGTTGTTGTTTCTGTTTCTATCCGTCCCACATTTCATGTCACTTTGCTTTTTTGGAAAATGATTACCCACTTTAATTTCATTTTAAACTTTTAAATTTATTTTTTTAATTTTAATTAAACTAATTAGTTATTTTAATCTAAATTTATAATTATTTATATCATAGAATAATTATTTTCACTAATACATTTTTAATTATCTACTAATTACATCCCTACTAAAATACCGTATCTACAGTGTAGTAACATAGTATATGGGACGGACGGAATATTATTTAAATAATAATAATAAAAAAAAAACCAAAAAAAAAAGTCACTAAAATGATAGTACCTTATATAATTTAAAATATATTGGGGCTATGCAAATGTCTATTTATTTCCCCTATGCTCCAATTTGACTAATTCACAAACTAATTAGCTAACGGTGGCCTAATTAGAGAAGGTCCTAATAATCAGATGTCATTTAATTTAATTTGGCAGAATTACTACAAAAATAAAAATAAAATGAAAAGCTAGTGGGTATTAATTACACCATCCCTAAAATGAATAAAAAATAAAATAATAATTTGAATTAAAATAAGCTATACGTTTTAGTGATTTTAATTTAATTTATAGGCCGCTACAGAAATATGATTAGTTATTTTGTTATTTTGAGCACCCTCTATTTAGGATAATTCCTTTTAACATAACAAATTTCAGTTGCAACTTGCTGATCTACTTTCACGCAACTATTACTGGAATTGTTTTTATTTTTTTATTTTTAAATAATTAAAAAGGGAGAAATTTAAAAATAAAAAATAAAAAATCCGACCTGCCGGATTCGAACCAGCGACCTAAGGATGACAGCATTTCTCACTACAGTCCTCCGCTCTACCAACTGAGCTAAGGTCGGATGTTGGAAGTTTTCTGCATTTATATTTATATATATTATGTACATATAATGTAATAACGGATGAACGGTGGATCTCCCCAAACAAACACACCTCCGATGCCATAGATATTTGATTAATCATGGTTTTTAAACTCCAATACAAAATATCTACTCAGCTCATTGAGAATTCAAAGAAAATTAATACTTCCTACGTGCATATAAATTGTTCATATTATTTATTTTTTATTTGTCCCACATAATTTTTTTTTTTTTTTAGAAATATAATTATATATTTTAATCATATTTTTTAAATTTGATAAGTTATTATTTTATTAATTTTAATTAAATTATTTAATATATATAATTATTTTTACTAATATACTTATTAATTAAATTCTCATCAACAACTTATCCAGGACTTGATTTCAAAGTCAGCTCATAAAGGTAGAACTTGAGTTCAAATTCTGACTCGAATTTTAGCACAAGTCCTTATTCAAATTTCATTAATCAATACAAGCTTTAATATAAAAAATTATATATATTTATAATATATAAAATCATATACATAAATATGCACAATGATAGATAGATACATACGTACATTTAACCATTTCGATCAACAATAGAAGAATAGCAAATTAAGAATCACTTACCCAATAGAGCATCTTAATTCCATAGCTTTTCCTAGGCATCCTCACCAATGCCTTGTGCATCAGCAGCCGGGAACGACGGCAGCCATATCTCGACACGAGTACCACCTGCTCCAAGAACTGGACCTGCACTTCTCGGAGAAATTACACGGACGACACAACCATACCCCTCGAGTATTTCACGGGCAACAGTCAGCCCGGCAATGAAGTTCCATGTCATGTTATCTTCGATCCTATCTTTGCCGTATAGATCTGGCCCGAATGGTGTCAGTGAGTGCATTTGTGTCTGCAATCAATTCAGTCAGAAAATTCACTAATTGTTACAAAAAACATTGCATTATATATCAACATTGATATAAAGTATCACTCTTTTAACAGATGAGAGCGATTTAGTAATAGCTCGGAATTTAAATTTTGGTGTAACTAAGTAAGTTGATTTCCAATTCTTAATTGAGGAAAATAAACTGTTACCATATAGTGCATGTCAGGTCCATCGTCATCAATGACGATGAGGACACCTCCGGCAGGTGCTATGGTAGAGACAATGTCAATTCTTCCCCCAACTTTTGTTCGCAACAGAGCGCCCTCGACTAAATTGCTCAAAGCCTGGCGCAAAGCAGGTTCTTCAACTGCAACCTTCAATGTGCTTGAAAGATCACATAGTTCCACGACTCGTTGTTGCTTCTGTGCAAGAGGTTTTATGGCTCCAACCAAATCTTGAAGTACATCAGAAACTTCACATGGTCTTCTGATAAATAGAAGGTTTGTAAGAAACAATAATGTTTCCTATACAAATTGACAATTAAATTATCTGGAAATTGAAAAGACAGTGGTATAGCCAGAATATTTATAATTTCGGCTTTTACTTTATGATTGCTTTATAATGTATTGGATAATCACTGTTGAAGATAAGATAACTGGAAGTCACACAAATAGGTTCTTTACTGCTCATTGAAAGAAACATATGAATTCCAAAACCCCCAAAATTCTGCAACTGGCCCTCACTGGTCATCAATCTTAAATTATGACCTAGATTAGAAACATGAAAGGAAGAATTTGCAAAACATAATGAACAAAATCACCATCAATTGGCATATCTTAAGCAAGAGCCTACCTAATTTCCTGTGGGTAAGAAGATGCAAGAGCAAGAGGTGGCATAGGAAACTCTGAATCCTGATCTGCTGAAGCAATAGACAATATCCCAGAAGACTCTTGCAACTTACGGACAGAACTTTCCATGGATAAATTATTGGACAACTGTGTGCCTTCCTCCGGCAATGTGTCAGATGACTGCTGGATCTTTTTTAGTGATTCATTGTTATAACGCAGTATGTTGGCCTGACAAGCAAGATAATCTAATAAGAACTGATTGAAATCTAATAAACTACACAAGGGGCAACCAAGTTAGAATAATTAAGATGTGAAAACACAATGGGTAAATGCATCTATTTTTAGGAAGCTACATTATAAGTCTTGCTAAGTTCAAGTCATAAGCAATTTGCATAGTTTTTATTATAGGAACAAAACAAAAAGCAAGCAGTTGTAACATGCAAAACGCAATTTATCGAAATGCATGAGAAAATTGCTTCAAAGATCTAGCCATGCCATATGAGATCAGGAAAACTGAGAAAACCAACAATATATCACCCAATGATATAACCTTTGTCAAGTAGACAGCATCCTGTAATTGTTGAAGAGCATCTCTAATATGATCACCTTGCACTAGAATGTCATCAACAATGTCATGTGCAATCTGCAATATAAACTTCATTTGAATCAAAATAGGCAATTAAAAATAATATTAGGTTTGCCAAGCACATCATTAAAGTTTTTAGGCAAGCCCACCTCGCTTCTCTTCAACTGAATAGATAACATTTTGCTTAAAGTATGAATGCCTGAAAGAGAACCTCGAATCTGTAAAAACAAAAGATAAGAGAAATTACGAAATGTTAACAGTCATTTGAGAACAAGATGTAAAGGTAGCACCTCTTACTTGCTCAACCAAATTACTCATCCTGACATTGTTTTGCCATGCTGACTGCTGCAGTAGCATTGCTTTCTAGAGAGATGTGAGAGTCATATATTCAAAATTAGGAAGGCTGCAAAGCTTATAATAGATAAATAAACAAATATATGCATCAGGATAGTTAATCTTAGAAGTTTCCATTCTACAGCAACAGCATCAAGCATATGTAACCAAAGTACTATAATTTTAACATTTTCTTTTAACATAGAGCCAGTACGTAATCATGAATTAAAAGCCTACCTGATCCATGACATAAGCCATGGCTAGTGAACGAGTGATATTTATCGCATTTAGTTTTTGTTCAGAGGAAAACTTTAGCATGCCAACTGAGTGATCTTCAAAGGTTTGTACTTCCAATGGCAGGGGATCCGGGCTATGGGTTCTCGAAAATGAATCTTCTTTTACATCATGCCATTCCTTTTCCATGAACATCTTTGGGAACTCAGCAACTAAGAAGCCAACAATAAATGGATGCGTAACCATTGGGAATACCACAGCACCAAGCTCAGGAAAAAATTCTGCCTAGAAATGAAGAGAACATATATTAACAAATCTATTGGTAAACACCTCATTATACAGATGAATCACAAATAAACAAACTCCCAATGGCTTAAAATGCACAACAAAGAATACACAATCGTGCCTGTTGACTCATAATTGCAGCCTCTGCCACTCTCAATCCCGCCGGCACACCAAAATTACAAACCAAAACCACAATATCAGCGGAATGGACGCCTGGATATAAAGTTATACGACGCAACTCCAACCGATCCATGACATAACTATCGGCTGGTCGGACATAGACCTGTGATCAACTTCCATGATATTATACCACTGCTATAAAGTGCAATATCAAACTATCAAACAAGAGTTAAGTTATAACAAGTATTACAAAAACATTCAATACTTCAATTTGACCTAAAGTAATTACAAGCAATAATTTAGCTGCAATTCAAGTAGCAAAGCAAATTGAACTTCTGTACCGATAGAAGAGCATCAGGATCGACGATTCGGCGAAAGAGATGGAGCTGCTCGAGGCAAAGCCGCTGAAAATCCTGACTCGGCAACACCAACGCTTTACTCTTCGAGCCGCCGCGGCCGGCGCCGCTCTTCTCTATCGTTTGCGTGAACTCCACCGTCGAAGTGGAAGCCGCGCGTATCATCGCCACCACGGCATCCGCCGACGACACCGCGGCATCCTCCTCCTCCTCCTCCTCCTCCAGCGAGGTATCATCGCCGTCAGACGCGCAGCTGACTTGGCGGATAGAGGTGGAAGCAGTCGCCGCGACGAACAGCGGTCGCTGAGCCGACGTGTTGGTGGTGGCGCGGCAACCGTATTTGCCGCCATTAGAGAGGAACGGAGGGGTAAAATTGTAATTCACCTGAGTAGTGGACACTGGAGTCTGTGGCGGAAAGGTCGAGAGCATCATCTTTTCCGGACGGAGGATCGATCACTCCGTTGCTACCGTATTCCGCCTACGTTTCCAATTAAATCATTCCTATTGGGCTCATGGGCTGGCCCAATTAATAAAACTCATAAGGGCTTCTGATGGGCTTAGCACAATTCCATTATACGTTGCATGGTGCGATATACCGTTCATTCATGTATCTTACATTTATATAATTTTAAGCCTAAATTGAACAAAATTTATTTTTAATTTTACAAAATTGCGTAAATCCTTCGTATTTTAAATTAGTAGTTTTATAAATTTTACGTCTAATTCTTGGCCGTTAGAATGTCATAATATTTGTATACTTCTAAAATTATAAATATATTTATTTATTTTATATTTAATCTTAACAAATATTAAAAAAAATAAAATACTCCCTCCTCCCACTTCATTCGTCCATATTTCTATTTATATTTGTTTTACATTATTTGTCAGTTTTTTTAAATATAATTATACCTTTTAATCTCATTTAAATTTAATATGTTATAATTTTTTATTATAATTAAACTATTTAATCATCTTAATCTTAACTTATGATTATTTTTATTAAATTATACTCCCTTCGTCTCATATACCGTGTCTGCTACAACACTCAAGGGGTGTAATTAGTAGATAATTAAGAATGTATTAGTGAATAATTAAAATTTTAAAAAATAAAAATTTAAAATGAGATTAAAGTGCGTCATTTTCCAAAAAAAAAAAATAAAGTGATATGGAATGTGGGACAGACAGAAACGGCAATGTGCAATACCTCAAATTTTATGCATAAGCTAAATAGGACAATTTAGTTGGGAAAAAGGGAGTAATATATATATTGATTTTAAGTTAAATGATAAGAACAATGAGTATATTTATAATTTTACCCGTCAAACAACATTAAATAGGAGGACGGAGAAATTAATTAGAGACAGAGTTTATAAAATCACGATGCAGTTTGAACAGTTTTGAAAATTGAAAAATTTCGTAAAATTCCGTAAAATAACGTGTGTAAATATTGCCTATTGAATTATAAATTCAGTTGTAAAATGAATGAAATAATATTCATTCAATTATTGTTCTAACATCATCATCGTTAGTCGATTCCGTTGTCGTCTCAACTCTAATGTCTGTAACAGGCGAATCTCAAGGGGACAGGAGGATCAGAATAATCACCATTAACAATCCGATCAAAGATGAACTTATTAGCAGCCTCAGTGAAGTGCACCCCATCCCAAACGACAGCCTTGGACGGATCCTTACACGATTTTCCGACCACCACTTGTCTCCCCTTAACCGTCACGGTGCTCCCACACCCATGATCCTTGTTCCAATTGTACTTCCCGCCGTGTCCGCAGCACGCCCTCAGCGGGTGCTCGAAACCTGCATTCGAATGTCCGAAAATTACAGCCTGGAACATCTTTAGGACATATGCTATTTATAGATAGCGCATGTTACCGTGTCGAGTGGCGTTTTGAAATAGATTGAGCTTGATTGAGTAGATGTCGACGTATGTTAAGGCTGCCTTCGGGAGACTCCTCCGGAGCTTGGCCACGGCTGACTTCAATTTTACGTTGAAGTGTCGCGCGACTTCGTTGAACGGCGACGCGCATCCGTACTTGTCGATTTGTCCTGCGGTGACCGGGACTTTGGTTAATACGTACGGTAGACAGCCCGCCGGGCCCGTGTTGTGTATCCAAAAGGATCTTGCGCCGTGGTTGTATAAGTCCTGTATTTTGTCGAAACAAATGAGTTTTAATAGGCTGTAGTTACTGTGCTGACACATCATATTATAATAAATCACACATGATATAATAATAGACATGTATGTATCAGCATATACTATAGGAGTGACCGATGTATATTTATATATATTAATATATATTTCAGCATATTTATAATATTACTTCCGTCCGACTCTAAATGTCTCATTTATCTTTTACATGTTGATTTTTTAATATTAATTATTATATAAAAACGTAATACAAATTAAGGAAAAATGACAAAAATACTTCTATTGGTGTTTTATAATACTATTACAATGATATTTGTGCAAAAAATTATACAAATATAAGATTATTTTTAATGTTAAGTACAATGATGCAAAAAGTAAATGAGAACCTTAGAGCCCAACGAAGGTAGTATATGTCGTCCAGCTCTAACGGTCTCATTTACTTTTTGTGTGTTGATATTTGATATATGAAAAATTAGTACAGATCAAGAAAAAATGATAAAAATACTTCTATTAATGTCTTATACTTCCTCCGTCCCATAACAAAGTATCTATTTTTCTATTTTAGTCTATCCGATAACAAATACCTTTACAACTTAAAATATATTACACAAATGTCATTACTTTTATATCACACATACTAATAAGGTTATTTTAGTCATTTTTACTTAATTCCTACTATATCTTAATATAATACTAATATTTCTAAAACTACGTGAAAAACAAATGGATATTTGTTTATGGGACAGAGGGAGTAATACTATTATAATAATATTTGTGAAAAAAAAAAATATACAAATATAAGAATATTTTTAATGTTAAGTATAACGACGCAAAAGATAAATAATATCATTAAAATTGGACGGAACTTATCATATGTTATTTTATAATACTAATATACACATATGCATATATTGGTCACCCATACATATGCCGATTCGATCATATATTGTGTTATGATTTATATACATGTTCTAACATCATTTTCGATTGTTGTTCTTACCTTAATTACCGCAATGAACTGGCTTATTACATCGGGGATATACGCTTTAACTTCACCCGGCGTCATGTTGAGGAAATAGCCGGAGGTCAGGTCATTTTGGCCGATGTCGAATGTGTACAAGCCGCGCGAAAAAGCATCTTCTTTAGGCAACAAGTCTCTAAACACTCCACCTGCAGGGGAAGTTCCCATTATTACACAACTCGTTCGTCATCACATAATTTCACAAAGATGGATAAAACTTTAGTACTACCTCGTTCGCGGATGATCTTAGATCTACGTTGGAAATCGTTGAACTCGTACCATTGAACATTCAACGAAATCGGACTGAAACCGCTCTGGTGAAGTGTAGTGTTTTGAGGTCGAATAGTCGATCCAGCTGTCGCGAAATTGGCGCCGTGGCTGAAATTCGAACCGAGTGCATCTAGAAAGGCGCTTAGATAAGGCAATCCTAAGCTCTTTGCTGAAGATTCAGACAAAAGGAACTATTAGTTTGTGCAAACATGTAGTTGGATAAGGATTAGTTCAGTTCATGTTTCTTACAGAAATTTAGAGTAGGAGCATGGAAGAAACTTGCGTGTTCGAATAGGACAGAAATGTTTGTTAATTTGCATCATATGGATGATGTTTGCTATAGATAGTGATCTACTTGCCATAACTCCAAATTTAGGTTTGTTGCATAAATGTTTGGACTAAACTAACATATATTCTTGTCGGAGAATGAGGAACTGACATTAATGGATCGAATCAAACCTAAATTGCTGTATAATCGAATTGAAGAGTATCCATATGTAAGTAGTTAATTCATAAACGTCCTTACCGATAAAATCAACGACGAGTCGGCCATCGCAGTACCTTCCGACCGGGCGGTGGAAAAAAGTCTCGCCGTTCGGCGGAGCGGCCTGTCCGAAAGCTGCCGACAGTCCTCCGGTGTCGGAATTGGAGTCGCCGAAGTTGAAAATGGCCTGAAAATGACACGGCGGCGGAGCTGTGTTATGAGCTGATGTGAAGTGAGGGAATGAGGCCGACAGCAGCAGCGGGAGGACGAGGAAGAGAGAATCCATGAGGAAAGAAGCCAACGGAATTGTTTTTGGATGGGAAGAAAATATGAATAAAGGAAATAAGAACGGGTTAAGCAGTCACGAGAAATGGTGGGTGGCCACAAGTCACGTGCACCTGCACGTGGTCCTGCTTTTGGAATATGTCTCAATGACATTATTTGATAATTTGGGTTTCGTTTTGAAAATTTGAAAATTATTTGAAATTTTGTATTTTTTAGAGAATTTTTAATTTTTTTTTTAATTAGATTCCATTTCTATTTTTAAAATGTTTAATTTAAGAACCTGCAATTATTGACTAACTTAAATTCTATGCATATCTATTAAACAAATCTTATCCGTTAATCCATATTTCAATACAACGGTCTAACATTCCATTATAGTGTTAAATTATTATATTTAAAAAAAAAAAAAATCAAATTTCTATCATCCAAAGTTCAATTAAATTACGTCACTAAATATATAAAAAAAATTAGTAAATTCAATAATAGAATGAATGGGATAGGTATGGCAATTGGTAGGGGCTAGATCCTACCAATTTATTTGAAATCGGGACCAATTATTTGGGTATTGGGTTGGATCCAGATCGGTTTTTTAATAAATTTTTTAGGGTCGGATTGGGTCTATGGTTTAATAGTAGACCTTACTCAATCCGAACCGGATTCATTACAATAATATTTTATTTTTTTTTGAAATTTCTATTTTAAATTTTATTTTTAGTGTTGGTGGCGGGATGTCAAGGTGATATAGGTGAAAATTTATCTTTTTTGTATATATATTTTAAATTTATTTTTTTGGAAATAAGTAGATATTTTTTTGGGTCTATCAAGTACATCACGAATAGAGTCCAAATATATGCGGATTCGAATACATTGTTTGTTTGGATGATTGAATTTTAAATACAATTCATCCCATTTTTTTCCTCTAATAATATCAAATCAAATACCTAATTTTTATTTATAATATTATACTCAAAACTAATTTTACACTCAAAATATTACCTCAATACCTATTTATTTCACTATTCAAATTCAAATTTTTTACTATTCAAATTCTAACTCAACATCCAAACCCCCAACAAACACACCCTCAAGATTTTAGATCCATATTATACATATGGGTAGGATATTTGATCCATCTATCCACGACCCATACCCTATAATTGCCATCCTTACGATGGAAGCACATGGGAACCGCGAAGACAGTCAAATATGCAGATTTGCTCAAAAAAAGATGCCCAAACAAGAAAAAAGGACAACAGCAACACGCCCGTTTTCAGATCCTTTTTCTTCCCTACAAATCATAAACTCAGAAAATAACCCACAAAACAAACCTATTAATCAGAAAAACCTACCCAACATGAATTATAAAGACATATGCATAATAGAACAAAGCAAACAACAAAGAGAAGTAACAATTTAAGCTTAACAATTAGGCATTAGCCACCAAAATGCAAAGAGAGACAGCAGTTTGTTCCTTCTTCAAAAGAATCGAAAACGCCAGCCAACAAAACCTAATCCCAGACCAGACCAGACCAGACACAATAAACACAGACCAAAATAGATCATCCTAACACGATGAGAATTTTTTACAATAATCAACGATGCAACAGTTTTTTCCAACTTTCTTACGCTTCAGCGTTAGCTCTATTCCTCCTCGGCAGCAAAAATTACGATTGGCGAAAACAAATAGGAGGAGGAGCCACTGTATTATTGCGGTCTAAACTAGTCAGATAGACGACGACGACGACGACTCCAAGAATCCACACACCTGCACCCAACTCACCACCTCGAACCAGACCTGCAAATCGACAAAAAAACGCGCAGCTAGTAACCAATCAAACAGTGTAAGAACAACGACAAAAGTACCTGTCCACATCTCTGCCGCCCAAGAATCCTCTCCCGCCGCCACTTTGAACATTTCTGCGCTCGTCGCCAGCCCTCGCCCACGAATTTGCACCACCCCGCGAACGAGGCCTCTCATTGTAGTCGCCACCTCTGGAAGAATCCGGATAAGATCCCTGATTGAAGCCGCCTCTAGGATCTTCGTAGGATCCGGGACGAGAAGGAGGTCTGTCACCATATCCAGCTCGGGGGTCTCCATACCCCCCACCTCCGCGGGACGGGGGTCTCTCTGAGGAGACCCCTCTTGGATCCTCATACCTGCCGGGTCGAGAACGAGGCCGCTCGGGGTAGCCGGATCTAGGGTCATCATACGACCCGGTCATGGAGGGAGATCGAGAAGGTACCCTCTCGTTAAAACTGCCAACTCTGCCGGCTCCAGAACCCGGCCTCTCGTGTTTCTGGCTGTAGCGCACTTTGTCGTTCAATTCTCGAACCAAAGTTTCCAGCTCCTGCTCCTTTTGAAGTATGAGGTCGCCTACGGCAGTCTGGTCGTTGCCGGAAGTTTCCTGCAATTGCTTTTTCAGTTCCTCGATTTCTTCCTTCAACTTTTTTTCTTCATCAGTCTCTGGCCTGAAATATATCTCATCACTTCAGCGAGCAGCAATACGAAGCTTTAACATAGGCAGATCATCTCAATTAAAGCCATTGTAAAGAGCTTAACCGTAACAAAACATTGCCACCATACAACAAAGATTGATCGAGACATTGTAACTATTGAATTTAGGAGTGTCCACTTCAGTAAATTTAAATTTTAAAGATGGCACCAATGATATTTGTACTTCCATTATCTCTAAGAATAGAATTCGCTGATAGTCAAGTCGATACCAAAGTTAAGAATAATCGAAATTTCAATATAAAATACCAAATCAGCTGTGATTAAGGTTATATATTGAAAATTTTATAACACAAATCAGACAAGGAAATAGCGGGAAGATGAATATAGTTAAATAGAATCTCATGGAAGTTCGAATCAAATCTAATGCTTGTAGGTATATTAACACTTTCGACTTCATGAGAGGGGCTTTCCAAACTAAGCATAATCCCTTGTGGAAGTCACATAGGAAAGTTCAATCATCATAAATGACCTTAGGAGGTTACACAAAATCTGTTTCCTTACATTCTTCGGCTGTTGGTTCTAGAGGGGGTGCACTTATTTTTTAAGTATGAAAATCTAGTACAGAATCTCAAACAAGGTTAAACATGTCCAAATAATCAAAGCTCCACATCGTTCAATCCAAGGCCAATGAACTATCTAGACTGCAAATGCTAAACTCATATCCAAATTTCTAAAGTTCTTGTCAACCAACCAATGTAAAAAAACACATACAAATTACTAGCCACAACCATATGTTTCATATTATTGAAGTCAGTTGCAGACATGATCCTCAAGTGTATCAAATTCACGAAAATGGTATAACTCATACATTCAGCTCCATTTCATTCTTTCTCCCTAATCAACTTGCAAGACTTTAACCGCCGCACCCCCCCCAACCAACCCCTGGCAGCCATTCACAAGTATAAAACTTCCAAAAGTCAAATCACAATGAAAATAAACGTTAGGCATATGATAATTAAACACCTTCATATCCACTCAGTTACTCATGCAAAAGCAACACAATAGAGACAAGGCTATTTGGTGCACAATTAAGTGGAGCACAGTGTGATATTACATTAATAATAAAATATTTCTACGACAAACTTTCAAAAAGAGTAAAGTAGCCAGATACACATGCATTTTAACCCCAACTATAATTATACAATAATCAAACTACACCTCATCACATGGTAAATTTAGCATTTAACAATGATTTCAGCAAGCATTAACTATTTACTATCAATATCTACAACATAAAGTCAACAGAAACGAATTCAACAATATAAAACACCAGCGAACTATTAAGGAATTTTGAAATCAAAAATTTCATAAAAAGAAGGGAAAGTGTCGAGACAGAAGAAGAGAAATAGAAAACATGAATAATGATAATAATATAGCTATGATAAGAAAGCTTCTAAGCATAGAACAAAACCAAAAGAGGAGAAAATAGAAAGGAATAAAGAAGAACCTATGATGAGGACAACATAATCAGCAAACACTTTTTAGATATTCACAAAACAGTCAAATTTGAGAAGAAGGCAAAAGTTCTTGGGAACCGTTGAACCCCTTTGACATTTGTTAACACAGTGTGGTAAGATGAGTGTGCTCTCCTATAGCATGACAGGTGCTGCTTTAAGAACATTGATCCAGGGCATTCGTATAAATACAGACTTACCATACAACAAAGCAGCACATGATCACAAGCACAAAACTACCTAAAACAGCTCCTATAAAGGACTCAAATTCGCCACATAACCGCAAATCCATAATTGGAATATGAATAGGTTATTCATTGAACACAACTGCAATATCAGTCGGGGAAAGGCCCTATAGAGTTAGCAGAAGAATGTAGACAACAATTATCACAATGAATGCTGTGTACATTTCATATCTACGCAAGAATGTAAGGAATGATAAGAGATTACCTCTCAACCCGTCGATGTTCCAACTCGAGATCGATCTTCTTCCAGTCCAAGCCCTTCTCCTCGAGCAGAACTTCTCTGGGCTTGGCATTGCCGAATGGATTCACCTTTGGTTTTTGCTTCACCTCATCTTCTCCAGCTCCAGGTGCTGCAACAGCCTCAGACTTGCCCGACTGCGAATGTGAACTTGCCGGCCTACTCGAATGCGAACTTTGCGGCCTACTTCCACCACTAACAGACTGCTTCTTCTCCTCAATCTCCAAATCCAATTTCTTCCAATCCAACCCTTTCTCAGCCAGAACATCCTCCCTCGGCCGCGCCGCCCCGAACGGATTTGGCTTGTTAACTTTCACTACTCCATCGCCCTCACTCTTAGGAGGATCCAAAACTAACCTCTGTTCACCCCTAGTCCAACGATCAGGCTCGGGCCTAGAGAAGCCCGACCCGAAACTTGAAGATCTAGGTTGTTGGGGTTGTGTAATAGGCTTCTTAGCAGAAGCCCAATTGTCAACCTCATCGGCACGCGAGGCAACTCCGGCAGCACCTCCGCCGCCGCCGAGAGAGGCGTACCTCGGCCCCGGCCGGCCTTGAGCTGAATTGTATTCAGGCATAGTCTGTCTCTTCATCGAAGCCCAATTATCAACCCCATCGGCCCGGGAGGGCTGATTCAATTCTGAAACCCTAGATTGCGGCGGTCCGCCGCGGCGGTCTTCGTCCTGAAATCCGTAGGATCTCCGGCCGTCGTATTCCCGCGGCCGACCCTGATTTGGGCCTCCAGATCCAGGGCGTGTCCCGTAATTGGAAAACCCCCCTCCCAATCTTCCATACTGCATTTCATCGGCGGACCGCTCCTTGGGGCCCGTCGGCAAGCGGAGCATTTCCTCGTGGGTCAAGCCGCGGCTGTAATCGGCGGCGGCGGAATGGCCAGATGTCTGCATCGAGAACTCCTGTAGGGTCATTTTGGTCTTTTTCTTCTGCTTTCCGGCGGTGCTCGCCGCTTCCTTCAGGCTGGGGAAGCTTGTCGCCGGCTGCGCCGCGGCAGCCCTCTCCTCTGCCTCCCGCTGCTCGGCCTCCTCCCGCTCCGCCTCGGCGGCCCAGTCGCCGATGTTCTTCCATGGCGATTTCGACATTTCTCCCACCGCAAACGCAAGATCGATAGCTCTTATTGCAACGACAAATAACTGCAAGAATAATTTTTAATTTTCCAAATCTGAAACGCTAAATACTGCCGTCGATCCCCAAAACGATTACCCGATCGAGTAAATTTCCTCTGCAGAATACGAATTACTCGCCGGGGCTCCGATTCCCAACACCATAAAAGAAAAACCAGAAAATGGTCGTCTGCGTGAGGCAAATATTCACAAGCACAGATGAGGTTGAAATTTCTGTCGAAATCAGTTTTTTTTTATATTTCATTTTTTCTTTTTATATATATTTACATAAATTTGGGATATTTAAATATTCGATATTTTCAAGGAACATAAATATGTGTGTTTGCTCCACTGCAATTCATAAATATTATCTCCCAACTAATCTTGGGAATAAACTGTTTTACATATTATCATAAAATTTAATTTTTTTTTTAAATATCATTTTACTAGTATTTTTCACCTTATATTTTAATTACTCTTCCTACTTTTTTTATTATTATTATTATTATTATTATTATTATTTAATAATATAAAATTATATTTGTCGGAAAATTAGGGTTTGATCAAAACTCATTATAACACCAAGAAATAATCAACCATCCAAGCGTGATTTATTGAACAAAATAAATCACAAATAAATATTGAACAAAAACAATCACAAACTCCTTCAACATATTTTCAAGAAAACTCTGGTTGTCAAAAAATAGACAACAGCCATAAAATAAGACAACTCAGAGTCACAGAAAATATTTTTTGTTTCTAAAATTTGTGTTTGCTGACCAACTTGGTTTGTCCAAGATGATTATACAGTCACTTTGTTGAGTCAAAAAAATAAAATCAACTAATTTAATTTTTTTTTTTTTTTTTTTTTTTTTGCTTATATCAGTGTTTTTTACATTATTTTGACTTACCTCATTCAATCTTTTTGTCTTTATTTTATATATAAATCGATGAGACAAAATTATTCAGGTATATTTGTTGTATATCTATCTACAACTCAGACTGAACAATTGTTGTAATTAAAATATGATCACAACAACCATATGAAGGAGAATTTTGCCCATATGAAATGTATCTCCTCCAAATAAATTTTCAATAACTGAGCACTTAGTATTTATTTTATCTTTTTGAAATTTATCTCTAAAATATGTTTACTGGCCAACTTGGTTTGTCCCAGGTTGATTATAAAACCACCTTGATAACTAAAAAAATCAAATCAATTAATTTTTTTTTTTTTTTGTCATATCAGTAATTTTTCACATTACTTTTGACTTACTTCATCCAATTTTTTTGTCTCTATTTCATATCTAAATCGATCAGACAAAATTGTCCAGGTATGTTTGTTGTTTGTCTGTCTATAACTCAGATTGGACAATTATTTTAATTAAAGTCTGATCACAACAACTATATATAGGTGAATTTTGTCCATATGAGATGTGTCTCATCCTGATAGATTTCCAATAATTGAGTATATTTTATCTTTCTAAAATTTGTCTCTAAAATATGTTTACCTGTCAATTTGGTTTGTCTCTAGTTGATTATACCGACTCAAAAGATCAAATCAATTAAATTTTTTTTTTTTGTCCATGTCAGTGGTTCTCCACATTATTTTTGATTTATCTCGTCCAACCTTTTTGTCTCTATTTCATATCTAAATCGATGAGACAAAATTGTCCTGGTATGTTTGTTTTATGTCTGTCTGCAACTAAGACTGGACAATTATTGTAATTAAAATATAATCACAACAACTATATGTAGGTGAATTTTGTCTATACGAAGTGTGTCTCCTACAATTAGATTTCCAATAACTTAGTATATTTTATGTTTCTAAAATTTGTCTCTAAAATATATTTACTGGTCAATTTGGTTTGTTATAGGTTGATTATACAACCACTTTGTCAGTGTTTCTCCACATTACTTTTGACTTACCTCATCCAATATTTTTGTCTCTATTTCATATCTAAATTGATGAAACAAAATTGTCCTGGTATGTTTGTTGTATGTCTGTCTGCAACTAAGACTGGACAATTATTGTTATCAAAATATAATCACAACAACTATATGTAGGTGAATTTTGTCTATATGAAATGCGTCTCCTACAATTAGATTTCCAATAACTTAGTATATTTTATGTTTCTAAAATTTGTCTCTAAAATATATTTACTGGTCAATTTGGTTTGTTATAGGTTGATTATACAATCACTTTGTCAGTGTTTCTCCACATTACTTTTGACTTACCTCATCCAATATTTTTGTCTCTATTTCATATCTATCGATGAGACAAAATTGTCCAAATATATTTGTTGTCTGTCTGTCTGCAACTCAGACTTAATAATTATTGTCATTAAAATCTGATCACAACAACTATATGAATTTTGTCCATATGAAATGTGTCTCATTCTGTTAGATTTTCAATAACTGAGTATATTTTATCTTTCTTAAATTTGTCTTTAAAATATGTTTAGTGGTCAATTTGGTTTGTCCCAGGTTGATTATACAACCACTTTGTTGATTCAAAAAATCAGATCAATTAATTTTTTTCTTTTGTTCATATCAATGTTTCTTCACATTACTTTTTGACTTACCTCATTCTACCTTTTTTGTCTCTATTTCATATCTGAATAGATGAGACAAAGTGGATCAGGTCTGTCTGTTATAATCTAATCACAATAACCGCATGCAGGTGATTTTTGTTCATACGCCAGAACATGTAATAGAAATATTTTTCTTTAGCAGTATTTGATGTAAATGTAATATTTAACTAAAAACATTGGTGAAATACAAACCAACCTATTTAAAATATTCATTCATATTTTTGAGTTGGAAAAGAGCTAATTTGAACTCAATGTTGGACTTCATATCTATTTAAAGCATAATAAAAATATGAAATTATTAATTTATTAATCTTACTTATTATTTTAATATTTTTTTCAAGTTTAAATTTGAGATTTAAAAAATAAAATAAACTAGAATAATGCAGGCATATATTTTTTTCAAATTTAAATTTGAAATTTAAAAAATAAAATAAAATAAACTAGAATAATGCAGGCATTTTGAACGCACGATATTATTTTAATTATTGTTAGGTGTGTTTGTTTGGGAGTTTGGATTTTGAGTTAGAGATTTGAATAGTAAAAAATTTTGAATTTGAATAGTTGCATGATGGGATATAAATAAGTGTTGACGTGATGGTTTGAATATAAAATTAATTTTTAATATAATATATAAATAAAAAATAAATATTTGATTCAATATTTTTAAAAAAAAAAAATTAAATTAATAGTGTAAATCCAATTCAATCCTCCATACAAACACAACCTATAAATAATGTGTGTATTTAATAATAACACGATATTTATACTCAATGTATATATTTTGAACGCGGTTCACTGGGCCACAGTGATTCTCCCTTTATAGATATTTTGAGCCCCAATGACGTGTCGTGGTGCTATTGGACACAAGTGCGTGCGCCACAAGTTGCAGTGTAGGGAAATTTTTTATTTTGCTTTTTATATAATGTTTCTATTATTACGCCATTATTTTTTAGTAAAATAAAGTATGTACAAATACTTAGGCTTTGTTTTTTCTCAGTTTTTTCCGCATGTTTTTTTAAAAAAATCAATATATTATATTATATTCATTATTTTTATATTTTATACACAATTTTTTATACTTTATATAAAATATTTATTTTTCAATAATCTCACAAAACAACACACTTGTAATAATAAACTGAAAATTGTTTAGATTGTACTTACATGTGGGATTTGATTTTTAATTTTACTCTTCTTAACTTTTTTTTAAAAAAAATAATATTAAATTAAATATCTATTTTTTATTTATTATATTACATTACAATTAAATTTTACATTTAAAATGATCGCATCAATACATATTATATCAAATCAATGATTTCAATTCAAAAATTGTACTATTTAAAATTTAAACCCAAAATTAAAATTTTACAAATAAACACACTTCTGATTTTTTATTTTTATTGAATAATATAAAATCCTATTTTTTAAAAAAATGTAGTTCGATCAAATTTAATTGGAACCCCAAGAAATGACCAATATCCCAATGTGTAGTTAACACTATGTTAGCCAAATAAATACTGAACTCTAAATTAATAAATGAGACGGATATTTGATAACTCAATACAATTATAAATCAACGTATGTCTGTTGATACCAATTTAAGAATAATTCTAATATAATCAATCATAATTACATAGTAAAAACAATCATAAATTCTTTCAATTTATTTCTAAACAGGTCCTGATTGTCACAAATAAGTACAGACAACAACCATTAAGAAGGTTTAGGGTTGGTCGTCTCCTCCAATTGGATCTTCGATAACTTTGTTATCCGACAATTCATCGATCGAAATAAAATGTTAAACATATATTCAATAAAAATTCACAGATCTAAGAGCACAAGTGTATATTTTCTCTTTCTAAAAGTTGTCTCTCAAATGTATTTACTGGTCAATTTGATTTGTCCAAGGATGATTATATTGCCATTTTATTAACTCAAAAAATCAGCCCAGTTAGTTTTCTTTTGCATTGATATGGAATGAAGTGTTTTTCTACATTACTTTGACTTATTTCATCCAACTTTTATGTCTCAATTTCATATTTGAATCGCTCACACAAAATAATTCAAGTGTGTTTTCGTATGTCTATGTCTCTACAACTCAAATTTGACTATTGTTGTAATTAGAATATGATCACAATTGAACGGGGGCTAAGTTTTGTGCATATGTCAACATAAATAATATAAATATTTTTCATTATCAGTATTTGATATAAATGTAATACTCTAACGTCCGTTTGTGAGAGTCATATTTGTCTTTTGTATTATTGTACTTAAAATTAAAAATATTTTTATATTTATATAAATTTTTTTACAAATGTCCTTCTACTAGTACTATAAAAAACTAATAGAAATATTTTTTTTTCATTTTTTTTTATTTGAACTATGTTTTGATATAATAATTAATATTAAAAAATAAATACGTAAAAAATAAATGGAACTTTAGAGCCGGATGAATATAGTATTTAATTAAAAACATTGGTGAAATACAAACCAACCCATTTAAAATATTCATTCATTTTTTTTTATTGAGGGGGAAAAGAGCTAAATTTGAACTCAAAGTTGGACTTCATATCTATTTAGAGCATATCTTTTTATATATATTGTTTCTATTATTACTCCATTATTTTTAGTAAAATAAAGTATGGACAAAATCGTAATATGCTGAAAATTGTTTACTCGTGGAAATGTCCCTGCTATTTGAGGTAATCATGATGTAATTTGATAGTATATACTACTCTCTCCGTCCCACATACCGTGTCTGCTACACTGTAGACACGTGTAATTAGTAAATAATTAAAAATGTAATAGTAAAAATAATTATTCTATAATATAAATAATTATAAATTAAGATTAATATGACTAATTAGTTTAATTAAAATTAAAAAAAATAAAATTTAAAATAAAATTAAAGTGTGTAATCATTTTTCAAAAAAGGAAAGTGACTTGGGACGGAGGGAGTAATAATTTATATATTCCCTTCCTCCACAAGATAATTGATTATTTTTATTACTAGCACGGTACTTAAAAAAATAATATTGATAATTTAAAATAAATTTAATATATATGATTAAAAATTAGAATATTTATTTAAATACTTAAAAAAATTTATCACAATAAAAAATATATGTAATATGGATATATTTTTGTAAAAAAAAATTATTTATAATTAATATAAAATAATTTTATAAAAAAGTAGAATTTTAAATATAGATAAAAAAAATTTATTTTTTGAGGCGAAAGATAAAAATAAAATAAAGTTTAATAGATCCTATATGACTTATAATGTTATATATTATTTAATGTTATATGTTATATAGTTAATTAAATTAATTTTTATATGTTAAATATATTTTGATTTAATCAATTTTACCAAAAAAGTGTTAATTGTTAAAAAAAAAAAAAAAAAAAAAACACAAATAAAAAATGTGTCAAATGTTATGGGAATTGTTAGCATGTACTGTATGTTATACCAAATATTTTGTGTAGTGTTTGTATATAAGTTTATATATATTTAATTGTTTTATATCAATATGTAATTTTCGATTATCAATTTATATTTGATGTATTATGTATATATATATATATATATATATATAATGTGATGAAATCAGCATTGGAGAAGAAGAAGTGCAGTCCCATGGCTTTCCACCTCTGCAGAAACTGTGTCTGTATCTCCTAAATTGCCATAGTCTTTCCCGCTCCATACTTCTCTGCATCTGCAAGAACCATTGTTCAACTTTCTTCCAGGAATTGCCTTGTCCAAATCGGACATTTGCATCCGTAATTCAGCCCTGTTCCTGTCCAGATTAAAAAACGCGACGAAGATCTCACCTGGCCGGAGAATTTCGACTGTTAGTTGCAATGTGGGATACCCGAGCAAGTTCGCCGAATGTAACAGTGTCATCAAGCAGTGCATACCTTTTTTCCTTCCCGTTGCGATCCACGCGCGAGTTCCCGTCGCTTTGGCTGTTTGGATATCCGTCATGTATGCGCACAGGCCTGAATAGCTGTTTTCTAACGTGCCGTTGTTGTTCAGCTCCCACATCTGTTTCGGTCGAGACCTTTTGATCAAATGGCTATGAAAGAAATGAATCATTCAAATTGAAAGAAGATTTAAATGTTATTTGCCTGATTGGTGTCCATTCGACACGGTGAAATGGAACCCCTTTCGATTTCTCTAGAAGCAAGCTTTCGATTTGGAGAAGCGCCGAGGCAGAAATCTGACATCTTTGTGTCGACGAGATGGATTTTTTTGTTGTATTTTCGTTGATACGTGTCTTCGGCTCTGAGAATGCAAAAATGTCGCGAACTTAGATAGCATTAGTTAGAACTAGAGCTGTTAAACAAATCGAGTAGCACACGAGCCAAGCTCGAAACGACTCGTTTATAGAGATAAACGAGCCGAGCTCGAACTCGAAAGTTATTTTTTTATAAACGAGTCGAGCCAAGCTCGACTCGCGAGTAGCTCAATTGAGCTCATTAGTGATAATATATCTATATTATTTATATATTAAGATAATATACATTTTTTATATCAAAATTTATATTTATTATTAAAATTTAAATATTTTATTATTAAAAATTATAAATAAAATTAAATACATTTAATTTATATATTAAAATATATATAAAATTCAAGTCGAGCTCAAACTCAAGCTGAGTTTGAGACTTGCGAGCTGAGCTCAAGCTTGTATTTGAGCCTAACGAGCCGAGTTCGAGCCGAGTCTGTACCCTTAACAAGTTCGAGTCGAGCTCGAACAACCGATACTCGAGTTCGTTCGCCTCGTTTAACAGCTCTAGTTAGAACACTAGTTCAAGTATTAAAGACTTACGAAGAAGATAAAAGGGGAGTTCTTTTGTGAAAACAAAAGGGGTCGCGGTTTCCCTTGCTCGAATCCTTCCAGCAGACTTGTTCAAGATCGTCGTCAATGTCTTTAACAGACCAACCTCTCGCCTCGACGTTATTGCAGCTTGTGAGGCCTAGCGTAAGGGACTTGGAGCTTAGTCGCTGCTTGATCACATTATCGAATCTTTTTAAATCGGACAATGGCCTTGTCGAAATATAGGGAAACTGCAAGCAATTAGTTGTTAAGACAAGAATTAGTCTTCAAATGTAAAAATGAAACTGTAAGGAAAAGGCCGGACCTCTTTATTGTCGGCGCTGAACGAGTTTATCTCTAATAGCGTGGGATTAGTAATTAGGGCGAAAGTTTCATCGTCAAGATCCCTCATATCTCCACCGAACATCAGAGGCGACTTTGCAATCGACCATAATGTCATCTGTCGAAACATTTTAAGCACTCGTGAATTCAACCATTTGTACCGTTAGAAAAACTGACCGTATATATACCTGAGTTCTTTGTTCATTCAGACCAAGACTACATCTTCTATGAGGGCCTTCATTCGAACCTACCCACAGATCGACGTAACAGGATGTAATATATTTCAATTTTTAAGGATGAAAGAATTTGCTCTCCTTACCCGGATCAGTTAGCTGTCCTAACGGAAGCATATCTAAGTCCGGCCACGAGAGGCCGCGCAAACCGTTTGCTCCAATCTTGCCCGCAGCAGCAAAGTCCCTAAACTCAGTTGGAATAAACACATGTAAAACATAAGGTAAGAAGTTGAGATTGCGTAAAATAATACCCCAAAATAAAGAACATTACGAATATATAATCTACCGAGAAACATCAAAATGTGAAGCAACATCTTCCCATTTATCCCAATCATCACCGGTGATTCTGTACATGTTGACAGCACTGCTTACATTACTCGCCATGGCTGGTGTTGCACTTGTTCCGGGCGATAAGGAATATACGATTGCACGATCGAATGTCTTCAATACCTGCACCACTCACAATCCAGTTCTTCGCATAACTAAAAGGCGACAAGAAAGAAGAAACATGTATGAAGGAGGCGCGCGTACACTCGAAACGTATGTTATCTCATCCGGCTGGAAATCCTCACCAAATACACAGTCATGTTTAACTGTCAACATTTAGCAAATGGATGAGAAAATGTATACAATCACGACGTATTCGGGGCGCCAAGAAACAGCACCAAAAGTTAGAAGCAGCTAGAAGTACCGAAATCAACACCCCAATCGGCATATTGCTGATAGAGCGACCTCAAAAACGCCCGTCCGGCTCCCAACTCGGTGTCAACACTCATAAAACCATTTTTCATCCATGGACACGGTCTCTCCTTGATTCCTACGTCTTTCGCGAACCACTTCCTCCCATTCTCCTCGTATTGTTTCCCCTACACATAAATCAATACAAATAATTCAACAATCTCTAAGCCATAAAACACAAAATTTCAAACACCATTGTCATAGTCTAATTGCACTACCGTGGCGACATCGAGGATAGGCGTGTTTGCATTATACGCCTGAGTGCTGATACCTCTCATTACATGAATCCCAAACTTCAAGCCCAAACCATGAACTTCCTCCGCCACTTTAGCGAACCCTTTCCCTTTTCCGGAAGACGGCCACCTCCCTGGGTCGGGAATAACCCTTCCCCATTCATCAATGACATCAAACCCCAAAGAATCAACGTTGGCACCTTCCACTTTCTTCCTATACCACAGATAATCCACCACCACATACTAATCCAAGAAAATTACATCAGTTGGATCAATCAGCAACCATGAGCACACACCCAATGCAACAAATTCAACAACATTCAACGCAGTTCATAGATGTTACCTCGTATCCAAGAGGGCGGAGGCGCTGAGACACAAGTTGTGCATTCTGAAGAAACTCTTCCTCAGAAACTGTCCAGCAAAATGAATCATACGAATTCCAACCTCTTGGCGGGGTTGTAGCAAGCCTCATTTCGCCCAGGCTACCATTAATACACCCATATGAACAATTACACATCTAAGCAAATAAAATGCATAAGAACGTCATCCGAATGTTCTATTGCAACAACAAAGAGTACGGTGATAATTTAAACTCCAAATACTCACGGGAGAGAAAAACCCTAACAATCCAAGATTGAACAATCACAAAGGATAGACTGTTTATTTAAGATTGCTACTTCTATTTTTTTCAAAATTGAGCTCAAAAACGGTAGAGTCCAATCAAATCGGGCATGATTACAAACAATTTATGAGAAACGAAGCAGCAAAACAGGAATTCCAACAGTAAGCTGAAAGATAAGAGAATTAAGAAGGTAAGTTACCTTTGAGGCGCAGGCATCGATAGGAATATGAAAAGGAGCAACCCCAAATACAGCGGTCTCATAGTCGGAATCATTCTTCCAGAAACAAGGACAAAATAATGCAGTAAAGTGAGTAAGAGCTCTGGCGGCTAATCACATACATACTCGGATAAATCGGTGCCTGAATTCTATAGATATATTACGTATTGAAAGTAAATTTCCTTTTCCCGATACGATCAAGGGTGTATTCATGACTTTGATAATTCTTTTTCAAACAGCTGCTGGTATTTTAAAAGTGGAGAAATTGGACTACAGAGAGTGTTTCGTCATTAGCACAATGGCGTGACCATGGCGAAGCGGTTAGTCATGATTGAGCTTTACTTGTTTAGGAAGAGACGACGACGTAGCTACCGAAAACGACGCCGTTCTGACGGTTATTATTGCTGTGTAAAATCAATATTGAAGTCATACGTTCAAATCGAACATCAAACTAGTTCGCCTAGTGTCGCTGGAGAACTTAATTGGTAGGGTATTAGGCTGTGCATTTTCAGATAGCGATTGCGGATAAATATGTTAAATGGGGCGGGTTCGGTCTAAAATTGTTTATTCAACTCGGAATCGGATATTCTAATAATTATTATAATTTATTTATATTTTTATATAATATAAATTATATTATTTTATTTATTTAAAAAATTCAATCGTAAAATAGAACTTTAATTCTAAATCAAATTTGTTTTTGCTTTTGTTTCTTCTAATTTTTTTTTTTTAGAACTATAATTTTTTACCGTTCTTATTTTTTTTAGAACTATAATCTTTTTTAGAGCCTACCTTTTATAAGTATTAAATTATTTTTAAAAAATTATATATATTTTTTTAAAAAACGGATTTGTTGAATTGATCCAAATCAGGGAGGAAAAGGTCTTGGGGCCGAATTGAAGTCGAGTGGAACGGATCTTAGATTCTAATATTTTTTAGCGGAGCGAATTTTGAATTCTAATATTTTTTTAGCAGAGCGAATTTTGAATTCTAATATTTTCTAGGGAAACAGGTCTCGGAGCCTGCAAAGTTCGCGCCATTATAGATGCGGATTTTCATGTCATAAAAATATATATATATACTTATGTTTTTTCATATTTTAATAATTTTTTACTATTAATTAAAAAAAAAAAAAAAAAATTCAAGTTCAAAATTTTTTATGTATTAATATTGTTATCAATAATGTAAAAATACACGACAAATACACGGCCCCAGCAGCAATTCAAGCATGGTCAGCGTCTAAGAACAGTAGAGTTCGAACAGCGCAGTCCCATGGCTTTCCACTGTCGCAGACACTGTATCCTTAACATCTCCAAAGTCCTTACCACTCCACACTTCACGAGCTCTGCAAGAACCGAATCTCCTCCCAGGAATCGCCTTCCCCAAGTCCTGGATCTTCGCAGATATCTCAGCCCTGTTCGTGTCCAAATTGAACAACGCAAGATACACCGCTCGTCTCCCTTTCACTAGGTCCGCAATCCACGCCCGAACTCCAGTCGCCGCGTCTGTACGAAAGCTCGAATTAATAACCACGAGCAACGGCTATATTTCGATGTCATAATGTCAAGAATTATTATAGTTATTACCGTTAGCGTTCTTCATCGATGCGCAGAGGCCGGAGTAGCTGTTCCTCAGAGTGCCGTTACGGTTCACCTCCCACATCTGTATCGATGATCAGTTTTTTTAAAAAAAAATAAAATAAAATGTCGGGTTCAAAAACAGTTTACCTGATTGGTGTCCGAACGGCAGGGCGAGTACGAGCCGTGATTTGATTGCGTCGCGGTGGGCCTTTGATTTGGCGATGCGTCGAGACATGATTCCGATGTCTTCATCTTTAGTAGATGGACTTTGCCGTCGTGATTGCGCTTATCTGTGTCCCTTCATTAGTATCGGTAATAAAAACAATAAGTTCGATCATGCTAAGTTATAAATGTACGAGAATGTGTCCGAAAAATTTTATTACAGTGTAAGGAGAGGCGCTCTTTTGTACAGACAGAAGGGCTCGTGGTCGCCGTCCTTCGGCTTCCTGTCCCAACAGACTTGTTCGAGGTTGTCATCGATGGATTTAACCGACCAGCCTCGCGCCTCGACATCATGGCAGCTTGTGAAAACTAAGGTAGGAGCAGCGTCGGTTTGATCCTTTGTCTTTTCGTCATCGCTCGTGGCAAATAATTTTCTGCTCGAAATGTAGGGAAACTGCGACGAAAGAGACAAGAGTTGTAATGGATTTCGGGTGAAATATTACCGACGCTGAAAGATAGAGACAAACCTCCTTATTGTTTTTGCTCCTGGAGTTGATCCTCAATATCGTCGGGTTACTGAGTAGATCAAATGTTGCCTGGTTGAGACGTCTCATGTCTCCGCCAAACATCAAGGGAGACTTCGCCATCGCCCACAACGTAATCTGTAATAAAAAGAACTCGCTTCATTACATTCTCTGGCATTTCTTAAAAAGAACTAAACCATCGACAAACACCTGAGTCCTTTGTTCATCCGGCGTAAGATTACAATTCCTATGAGGCCCGTCGTTTGAACCTAACAACAAATAAAACATAATCTCATCAATATACAAAACGAGAAAAACGAGTCAACGGTAAGACACTCCCATTGTCTTTTTCCTTACCAGGATCGGTTAGCCATCCGAACGGAAGCATGTCTGAATCGGGCCAAGATTTCCCGCTGCGCCCTATAGCTCCGATCTTCCCCGCACCCGCAAGATCGCTATACATATCAAAACAGAGTGTAATAAGCGCACGACATATAGAAATCCCGCGAGGATTAAACGATACCCCTTGTAGTAAAACGACAGTACCGTGTGATATCGAAATGCGCGGCGACATCCGGCCATTTATCCCAATCGTCTCCGGTAATTCTATACATGTTGGCAAGACTGCTTACGTTGTTTGCCATCGCCGGCGTTACACTCGTTCCAGGCGATAAAGAATAGACAACGGGACGACCCGATTTCTTTATAAGCTGCAAGAATTCTTACATCAATTATAATTATTACCGGCATTACTCGAGAGATGGAAAATAAAAGCAAAAGCAGAGGATGCGAAACAAACATACTCCCGATACAAATGTTATCTCGTCCGGATCGAAATCGTCCCCAAACACACAATCGTGTTTAACTGTCGCGACAAAAGCAAGTAAACCACAAATTCAAACAACATGAATGTCCCCGAAAATCTAAATTTAATGAAATAACATAAATGTCAAGAAATAGTATACCGAAATCGATTCCCCATTCGGCATATTGCCGATGAAGCGACTCGAGGAATGCGCGGCCCGCGCCTAACTTAGTGTTGACACTCATGAAACCGTTCTTCATCCACGCACAAGGCTTCTCCGGAACTCCTACATCCTTAGCAAACCATTTCTTACCATTCTCCTCGTATTGTCTCCCCTACGACATTCCAATGTCCTCAAATCAGTTAACGAATTAAACACACAAATTAACATCAATCAAAACAAACTCCAAAGTACCGTGTTGACGTCGAGGATCGGCGTGTTCGCATTGTACGCCTGCGTGCTAATGCCTCTCATGATATGAATCCCAAATTTCAGACCTAAACTGTGGACTTTCGCCGCCACGTCGACGAAGCCTTTCCCGTTGCCGGAAGACGGCCACCTCGCCGTGTCGGGAACCACCCGTCCCCATTCGTCAATAACATCAAACCCTAGAGAATCGACATTCGCCCCAGGAACCTTCTTCCGATACCACAAATAATCCACCACAGCATACTACGGACAAAAAATAAAATAAAAATCACGAACAGCAGCCTCTGGTGTAATGAAATTACAGCGACTCGTAAACCATCGGAGAACTCGAATCAAGCAATTGACAGTACCTCGTATCCGAGCGGGCGGAGGCGCTGCGACACAAGGCGCGCATTCTCGAGGAACTCTTGTTCGGAAACCGTCCAGCAAAATGAATCGTAGGAATTCCAACCGCGCGGCGGCGTTCGCGCGAGGAATGTTCCTCCTCGGCTGCAAGAAAAATGCACCAGAGATTAAAAGTTACTACAACATCTGCAAATGTCGAATTTCCTCCCGGCCCTTCTCTAAAATAGCACCGGTTCTGAGCACGTGTGCAATTTCTGAAAAAGGGTTTAGAACATTCACTCCTTATTAAAGAAATCAAAAACAAAATTACAAAATTATACCTCTGAGGTGCTAGAATCGACAGAGATACGAGGAGCAGGGAGCTCGCATAGAATACTCTCATTGTCCGAATCGCCATTTGCAGAATTCGCGAGAGGTAGGAAAGAACGGTGCACAGAAGCGAGTGACTCTTGATTCTCGAACTGCTTAGAATAATATATATATATATTTGTATGTATATATTTTGTATGTGTGTATTATACGTGTCGATCTGTTTGTTTGTGCAACTCATGTTTTGGTTTGGTATTAATTAATTAATACTTACCTAAATAATGAATTTTGGATATGGCTTTATCCAATTTTTGATTCCTTTAATGATTGTGTATCGAATGTTTAGTAAGCATTAAGTATAGGCATTATTAGTGTCCATTTTCAGGCATTGGGATGTCTTTATTTAAATTTTGAATTATTTTAAAGATTTGAAAAGTTTAAAGAATAATAAAAAAATTAAATAAAAATAAATATTCGATATATTGTAGGCAAATGTTAGATGTGATTTGAATATATGATAGGTTAATAATATAATGTAGCAAATAAAAAATGAATATGGATGTTTAAAGGAAAACATTTATAATAAATGATGTCCAAATGGTTCAAATTTTACTATTTGAACTCTGCTTTTCTAAAAAAAATATATTTTTTCTTACAAAATAGTTCATTAAATATTATTTTAATATCAAACTCAAATCAAAATTTTACCAAACTTATCAAAAGAAACGTACGAATATTTTAACACTTGTATAATGATTGGCTTTATATATTTTTTCACATACAAAATTATTTGAAGTTGCTTATTTTTAAAGTATTCCAATATTTTAGACTATTATTGATTATAAAATGTGCTAATTCTTTTACTTTTTATAAATATGTAAGTAAATAAAGTACTATTTATAATTTATTTTTATTTAAAAATATTGCATTAAATATGTACTTAAAAAAATCAATACAAACACAAGATATAAGAAAAAAAAAAAAAAAACAATCAGGTTGATTTACGGATTTTGGCTTCTATAGTTTGGTTATTTTTTTTAATTTAAAGGATTATATATATATATATATACTACTCACTTTGTCCCAATTGTGGTATTTACAATTGTTATTTTTTTAGGTTCTATATCTCATATTATTATTATTATTTTTTGAACAAATTATACATTTTTATTATTATATTTTTAATTTTTTACTAATTTTATATTTGTGTCTACAATAGCATAAACATAACAGTTGAGATGGAAAAATAATATTACTATTAAATAGTACTTTTTCCGTATCATAACAAAAATATCTATTTTTTACATTTTAGACTGTCTCATAAAAAAGTATCTATTTTTTTTAGTAACGGTACTATCTACCTAATAGTATAAATACCTTTACAATTTACAATATATTACACAAATGTCATTACCTTTATATCACACATACTAATAAGGTTATTTTCGTCATTTCTACTTCATTCTTACTATATCCCAATATAATACTAATATTTCTAAAACTACGTACAAAAAGCAGATTGATACTTACTTTTGGGAGGAAGGGAGTATTATATTTTATAAATAAATAAATAAATTATGAGTAGTAAGAGAACAAACATTCCAAATGAGGGAGTTAAATTGTAAGATTAATACAATTGTACATGTAAATATCATACAGTTTATTTGTTAAACAATACTTTCTCTGTCTCACGTTGCAATTTCTGTCCGTCCCACATACCATGTCACTTTTTTTTTTTGGAAAATAATTATATACTTTAATCTCATTTTAAATTTTTTAATTAGTTATCTTAATTTTAATTTATAATTATTTATATTATAGAATAATTATTTTTACAAATACATTTTTAATTATCTACTAATTACACCTCTCGTAAAATACCGTGTCTACAGTGTAGCAGACACAGTATATGGGACGGAGGTAATAATATTTTTAAAATATATATATATATATATATTAGGTGTGTTTCTTTACACCAAAAATACATATAAATGTCATACAGTTTATTTGTTAAACAATAATATTTTTAAAAATATGGTTGTGTTTGTTTGGGATTTTGGATTTTCAGTTGATATTTAAATAGTAAAAATTTTGAAATTGAATAGTTGTATGATGTGATATAAATAAGTGTTGATGTAATGTTTTGAATGTAAAATTAATTTTTAATATAATATAAAAAATGAAAAATAGGTATTTGATTTGATATTTTTGGGGAAAAAATAAAATGAATAGTATATTTAAAATTCAATCCCCAAACAAACACACTCTATATGTTTTTCGAAAAAAATACAATTTTTTCTCTAACAAAATATCTATCATATATTATTTTAATATTAAATCTAAATTAAAAATTTTCTAAACTTATCAAAAATAAACAAACCCCCGGTCATATATATATCATTTTTTCATTTTCGTTTGTGATTATTTATTTATATTTTTGATAAATTTATTTATTTTAAATATATTTAATAAATATAAATAAACTTATTAAAATTTTAACTTTTTATATATAAGTCCACTCAAAACCCGTTAATTTTTATATCTCACAAATAAACAAATATTTTTATACATATTTATAATATTTTATTTTTTATAAATTAATTTTAAGTTAACTAAAAATAAATATATTTTTTATTTATTTGTATTATATAAAATTTTATTATCTACAAAATAATATTAAAAAATAAAATTCATTGAGTATATTTAATTGATATATAATTTTAAAAATATTTAAAATACCAACAACACTACTCATATAAAATATAATAAAATAATATCATAATTATTATTAATAACTTAGTGATCTAATATTACGGTCCATAACCAAATTGATTATCCTTGTTGGACGGAAGAAGTATATTTTATTGTAACTGTATTAAGAAATAAATAATATTTCCTATGTCTCATATGTATTTATTATTATTATTATTATTATTATTATTATTATTATTACTATCTCATATATATCCTCCAATATTTTTAAAATAAATAAATAATTAACTCTCTACTAAATATATGCTTTATTCATCTCCATAATAAAAAAAATGTTATTTTTCATTCATCTCAATCTCAAAATAACATTTCCTAGTAATTGTATTTCGATATAACATAATAAATATTTTTACAATTTAAAATATATTATACAAATATTATTATTTTAAAATTACATAATATATTTTCTTCTATTATATCACTTAATTATTAAATATTCTATTTAATACTATCAAAAGACGGAACTACATAAAGGCTACGGGAAAGTTGACCCCCAATCGCTAAAATATATGATTTTTTTAGTGAAAGAAATAATAAAATTATGTATTTTTTATTATTTTGTCTTTCCTATTTTTTTATTTTTTATTTTTATATTATAGTGTAAAAAATATTAATTTTTTTGGTAGCTTTGTTGATTTATACTTTTATATTTTAATTTTCTTAATAGAAATTATTGAGTTTTATTAAAAAAAATTTAATATTTCTATAAAAATTTAATTTGTAGCTTTTTTTTTTCTTTCTTGTTTATTAAGTTGCATTGGGAGAAATTGAAAAAAATAATATTAAATAAAAAAAAGTGAATTGATATTTTGCTCTCCCTAAATTTTAGGGCTAGTTCCGTCAATGATACTATCCATCTAAATTTTTGTATTGAAAATCAAATATACCTTATATGAATTGAAAGAGTATTAAAAATAAATTTAAAATCATACCTAAATACATTTGATTCGGGTTAGAGTTTAATTTTTTAATTAGAATTTACCTAAGTAATATTTAATTATTTATTTTAACTTTTAAAAAAAATAATTTTCATGTATGCCGAACAAATTTTATAATTTTAAAATAATTATTATGATAGTACTTTTTCCGTCTCATTTAATTGATTTTTTTTTCTTTGTGTTTTGTTACAATTGACTATCTTTTTATTTTTCTAATAGATTTATCAATATTAAATATATTTATCAAATATAAATAAATTTAATTAAATTTATAATATCTTGTATATAAGACTACGCAATGGATTTATTTTTTTTAACAAAAAATATTCAATATGTTTTCAAAAAAATTAAGGGTGTGTTTCTTTTGATGAGTTTGAAAAAAAAAATTGATTTGAATTTCGTATGAAAATAATATTTGATGGATATTTTTTATGAGAAAAAAAAATATTCTTTTCGAAAAACGTAGAATTCAAATAGTAAAATTTTGAAAAACTCGACTATAGAAACATATCCTTAATATACTACACATGTACCCATGCGGGCAGAACTAAATTGAGACTTGGGGTCAGTTGTCCCCAAATTCCAATTTTTTTTTTTTTCCTTTTTTATGTAAAAATACAAAAAATAATACAACTATAGGAGTATTAAATTTGCCCCCTTTAATTTATATTTATTATTTTTATATTATTTATATAATTTTAAAATATTTCATATAAAAGAATTTGCCCCCTTCAATTTATATTTACTATTGTCGGATATTTATTATTTTTATATTATTTATACAATTATAAAATATTTCATATAAAAGAATTTCTTCTAACCAAAACATAAAACAAACCCACCCTTTATTCTTTTATTTATATCTTTTTAATCAAACATAAATTTTTTATATTTATTTATTTTTAATAAATAAATATTTTTATTTATATTTATTTTTTCATATTTAGAAAAAAGTAATTTATATTAATTATAAATAAATAAAAATATATTATTTTATTTAATTATATTATATCAAATTTTATTTTTTATGAAATAATATTTATATTGTATATATTTTAATGAAACATAAGACTTAAACTATGTATAAAAATATCATTTCCTAATTTAGTATTGTATTACTATCTAATAGAATAAATATACTTTCAATTTATAATATCTTAGTACAAAATACCATTATTTTTTTAATTAACAATACTAATAGGTATTTTTAATTTATTTTTTACCACAACCACGGTATTAATTTTTATTTTAAAAATATCATCACACTTCTCATATAAAATAAATAAATAAACTAATATGATAAAATTACTATATGACTAAATACTATTTTAAATATCATATTACAAACTAATACTCCATCCCTCCTTTCACTAAAATTAACACACTTGGGTCCGGATTTAAGAAAAATGAATATTTTATTGAAAAATTTAATAGGTAGTTGAATATATTTTTGAAAATTAAATTAGAAATTAAGGTAAACAAAGAGAGAAAATGTAATAAAATTAGTGTTATTTGTTGTAAATAAGTGTTGAATAAAGAGTAATAATTAAATATTGATTTATTGACTTTGTCAAAATTAGTAAAAAAAAGTGAGAATAAATTTGCTGACCGATGTAGTATATCAATTGAAACGAAGTGGATGAAGTATTATATTTCTTAGGTCCGTCTATAATAGTCACATTTAACTTTGTCACATTTAACTTTTGCGTCATTATACTAACATAGTATTTTATATTTGTATATATATATTTCTTAAGTAAAAATATTACTCCATTAGTATTATAAGACAATAAAATATTTTATATTTTTTTTTAATTTTGAATTATTTATATAATAATTAAAATTTAAAAATAAATTTGAAAAAACTAAATTCTAATTTTGAAAAGAAAATTGGGACTTCCGCACCCGTTAAAACATGTGTACGGCAAAAGGGTTCGGGAGTCCAGACCTGTTCCTTTCTGGGCGATGCCGAGGGTTTAAGAACCTCAGTCTCCTTCGGAGGGTAGACGTAGAGGGAGGGAGAATCTGGGAAGTCCGATACTGCACGAGCAATGGAGCGCTGCAAGCGGATTCGCGTAGTCTTCAGAGATGACAACATTTTGAGCGACTCACAAGAATCGGAGGGGCTGCGCCGGAGCTGGGTTCTTTTGAAACCCAGCGAACACAAAACTGTTTCAGATGTTGCCTCCTTCGTCCTCCACGCTTTTCAGCTTCAAGAATCGTGCCCCCATGGCCTCGTCCTCTCCGTAAGCGAAAACGAAAAGAAACCTACCTTTTAGAAAAAAAAAAAGTGTGGTGTTTGATGCGTTCGATACTGTAATGATGGTTCTTCAGAATGATCCTTCGTCGGTTTTGGTTTCTTTCTTTATCCGAGATTGGCGATTTCTTGTTATTGCATTGCGTTTTGTTGGCCATTTTCCCCTTCCATGAATGATAAGATTGAACTGAGGAATTTTCTGATTAATCCGACATATTTGCAGTTCATGTTCATCGTAGCTACTTAACAGAATTGCGCAATTGATTGTTGGGAAGTTATCCTCTGTGCAGGGGGATTTCTTGTTTCTGTTTTTTGCCATATTTTGTTTTGGTTTGAAACTTGTATTTCCTTTCTGTATTTGAGTTGCTTCTTTCCAGGAATAATTGGAATATTTAGCTGATGGTGCTTAACTGAAGGATCTTGTTTGTATACAAATTTCATTTATATTTATTATTGGGATCTTTTGGCAGGCATCTGGCTTTGTGTTGCCGCCTTTCGAATCTACTTGCATTCTGAAGGATGATGAACTTATCAGGTGGTTAGCTTGGACTCTAGCTTGTAATATATAGACTTTAAAGCCACATTTGTTCTTCTCTCGGAAATATTCGAGCGTGATCGACATTTTGAATTTTCTTTTATGGTTCAGTGTTAGGAAGAAAAGAAATGTCTTATGTATAGAGGGTGGGAATGCTTCAAAGGAAGTTAAGAAAGTGAAAACTGCAGGGAAGCAACCTGTTGATAGTGATGTCTTTCTGCTGGCGAATGAGGAATTTCAGAAAGAAAAAGGTGCAGAGGAGAGTGAAAACAATGAAGAGGCGGAAGAAGGTGAGGTGCTTGAATGTATTTTAGGTGGAAATGAAGAACCAAAACATCGTAAAAGAAAAGCTAAAGAGAAACTTCAGAGCTCAAAGTATGTGAACTTCTGCTGTTGACTTGATTTTCAACAATTATGCATTCGTAAATATCTTTACACAGCTTTTCATGGTTTGTTGATCCCTCATCTCGCCCCCTTCTCTTGTCCCTTAAAGGAAGAAGAGGAAGCGCTCTGAGGCTAATGATGCTGAGGACAAATTTGAAGCAGGGAAGTCTGAGAACTCTCATCAAGGACGAGATCGCAAAAAGAAAAAGATTTCCTGTGAGGAGAAAAATGCTGTTTCGCCTGGGGAAGATAATGAGGCAGAGAATGACGAAAGTGCTAAATCAAGGTAAAATAATAAATGCATCTTTGGGTGGTGTTGAGCAGTAGGCAAATGCAGTTATGTTTTACTTCTGCGGACATTGTTTTGCGCCTGAGCGTCTTAATTTTATGTTTAAACCATTATGTCCAAAACAACCTGAAATCTGAAAATGCTCATTATTTTGGGTTATCAATTGCCAAACAGATGATAATTAAAGAGGTCAATATTGCATTTCATAAGCTTTGTTTTTAATTCAAAAGACATTTTCTATTTCGGAAACTAAGTGCCTAAGTGTAGGATTTATAGATTATGGGAATGGTAATGATCTCATTCTGTCATGAAACATGATGATAATTTGGTGTAGATGAATTTTCAACAGAGCCCAGAGGGTGTTGAACCTTTCTTTTGATGTTGCAATGTAGACTGCGGTAGCAGGACTATTCATGTGAAAAACTAACCTAAAATTTGAGTTGTAGCATTCATATTTTCGACTAGCCATTCCTGATATTGATGTGCCACTTTACAGATTATCGATATCAGCAATTTATCACTTATTTAGTTCGCTTACCTAATTATATCTGTGGGGTTTGATAGAATAGAGAACAAACTAAATGAGTTGCCAACTATAGTAAGCTTAAACAGTTCAGATCGGATTCATTAATTCAATTTTCATATATTTTCATCAAGTGTTGTAGTGAGAAAGAAATATCTTAATAATCTTGAGCTAGATTGAGTGGCTTTGATAATATTCCCACAGAAAATAACCCATATTGTCTTTGTTATTAAACACGTGTTCATTTTGTTTCTATTATTATAATTTATTGCAAGCCTTTAATTTCTGTATTTGGAAATCTTTGCCATGCACTCGTATGCAGAAATGGTAAAGAGAATGACGAAGGGAGCGAGGATGCCATGGCCACCCCCACTACAGAAAAAAAGAAGGTCTACATCTCACTATCATTTATGGACATATATTCATCTTACTTTGTTGATTGTACTTTATTCTATACGGTGACAAAATTTTCTGAACAGAACACCACATTTTAGCCCCTCAATTCTGTAATTTGAATTACACAAGAAGCTTTGCATTTTTCATGGAGATCACTTTTGAAAGCGAAGTTATCCAGTGATCTTTATTTTTCTTCATATTTGCTTATTGCCAGTGAGATCCTCTCCATATTCGATTTTCATATATGAATCTACTTTTCTAAATTTATGCATTACCTTAATTTGGGGAATGTTTTACTAGATTGTTCCAGTTCTGATTTCATTTTCTTCTCAATAAATACTTTGAAACACCTGCAAGATACTTATCGTCTACATTTGCAGCTTCCAAGCAGAAGTGCACGGCGTAAGTATCAGAAAAGGCAGTGGTTGAAGGAGATGAAAAAAATTCAGAAGAAAAACATGAGTGGTGAATCAGAGGGCCTTGTAAGCAATTCTGCACTTATCTAGGACTGCTCCATTAATGTAGTCTAAAACATTTTACAACAGTAACGTAATATTTTTTGCAGCGGAATTGGAAGGAAGATCAAGCTAAAGCTAAAAAAAACCAGGTGGAATGGCAGGTCAGCTCGTCTCTTGCGCGGGACTGCTCCACTACCAGTAATGAGAAATTTCTTACAACATTAACATACTCTATTTTGCAGCCGAATTTGAAAGCAGACCAAGGTAAAGCTAAAAGAAACCCGGAGGAAGGACAGGTCAGCACTCGACACTTTCTTCTATCCCTGTCAACATTGAAATATATAACTAAATGCTTCAATCTTACAGCAAGGATGGAAAAAGCATCAAGCTAATGGTGGAAGAAACGATGATGGCCAACCCAAAGGACTGGTAGGTCTTTAGGTTTTACTTAAAGTTTGTATGTTTTATCTTTTTTATTCATGTAGCCTCTTCGATACGCAGCTGCATTGGATACAATCTCCTCAGGATGATACTTTTGTTAAGGAGAAAAAACGTGGCCGAAAGAATCAATATGCTTATAACAAAAATCAAGGTCAAAAGAGTGATGGATTTGAGCACTCAAATAAAATAGAAGGTAATGCACCTGAACAAAAAATTAAAAAAACTTGTGTAGGAGATTCCAGTGAAACTAATGATGCATCTGAGCAACCAACTGAAGAAAGCGACGAGGAGAATGAAGTTGTTCCAGTCGTAATAAAGCCAGGACACATTCACTTCAAGCCCTTAGCAAAAGGTTTGTTTGTCGGCTATGGTTTTGTGCTTGATATGCTTATATGTCTGACAATCTGATAGCTTTATTTGTGTCTATTTTTGCAAGACGAAGTCAGCTTAGTATCTTTTCGATTAATGTGATATCTCAAGAGTTTTCTCAGGTATTGTTATTATCCAATTTTTGTTTTTTCATTGAATGCAGAAGCAAAACAAGCTGTTCAGAAAGAGTACAGACCTTCGGTATATTTAATTCCATTTTGTGTACATTTGCTCGATTTTCTTCGTATATTTTCTTTAAGACGCATCCTGAGTAAGTGATTTGGCTACCAGGAGAACTTCCAGTGGAATGGGATCACCAGCAAGAAGAAAGGCCAGCAATGGGGAAGGGAAAAGCATTCATCAACTTCACAAATTCATTTCCAAAACCCAAGCAAGGTGTGTTCCGAAGTGGCGGCTAATGAGAAGAATAAACCAGTGGATGCCGGAGTCTGTTTGGAGAACCTCCCACCTCTTACCGGCGTGCCTAAGGTACTTGTTAGCATCTCTTTCACGTATTTTAATATTTAATCTTCATTCTGAAGGTAAGGTAAGATTCTTGCAAAATGCAACGGCCGAGTTGTAATGCAACTCGTGGACTATATTTATAGCTTCAGAGTTAGTGTTTCACCGGAAAAAATGAAACCTCACAACGACTAACTAATATTAATCCTCGTTTCTACAGGAGGGAGATATCATTGCCTATCGGATTCTGGAACTGTCACCAAACTGGACCCCTGAGCTTTGTGATTTTCGAGTACTGCAATTAGATACAAATTAAAATTTTCCTTTCCGACAACATTTATAGCCTTTTGACATCTCCTTTTGACATAGGTTGGAAAAGTATGTTGGTATAATACCAAGTCTGATCAAATATTGCTGGCGCCGGTACCCGAATATCCTATTCATTTTAAGAAGCTGAATGAGGACGGAGCTGAAGAAGAACAACACGACTCTCTCTATGCGGAAGATGGTTCGTTGAAGGTAAGATGTCACGGCCACAACCAATTTAATTCGAAACACACTATTGTACTTGGTTAAGTTTGTTTCATCCAATGCAGACCGGCTTTTCTTCCCTCATCGATGCTCGCATCTTTGACAATGGGACATCAAATTCAGGAAATGAACCAAATACTGCGACTGAATGTGATGGAGCCAAAGAAAATGCTACGGATATTGTCTTACCCGGCAATCAAGATCAGCCTACTGTTACTCCAAACCAAGGTACTAATTCGCACAACTATATCTAATATCCAAATCTAAGTTCGTGATCTTCATCCTGACAATATTTCAATCGTCGTGGCTGTAGAACTAAACCAGGCTAAAGAAGCAACCCTTCCCGCCTCAGGTTTCTACTTCTGATTCTTCACAAATAACGTTTGTTTCCATTTTCTTCGACCACACAATGCCTGTAAGGCTGTAAGTAACATTCTTTGTTGGCGCAGACATCTGGGATCAAATCAACGAGGCTCTAAACGCCAAGAAGGAGCAGCTATCCAAAGATGGCTGGACAACTCCCAAAATGGCGGCCGAGTCCTTCCAACAAAATACATGGGAGGAAAGAGCCAAAAATGTGAATTCATCACCAGCAAGTAATTCGACGGCGCAGCCAGCGCAGGACAATCAATGGGAGGAACTAGCAAGTAGCGTAAAGCCATTAGCAGGAAGTAGCTGGGGAAAGAGTAATCGGAAGGTAGAGTCACCGTCTGGAAATGGTTGGCAGAAGAACACTCGTAAGCCATTCGTCAGGAAATGATTCGACGAAATACACAAAATCCCGAAAGACAGCAGCATTTTGTCAAGAGAAGGTACCGTTTTCTTCGAGTAGACTGTTCTCGGCCTTTTGTTAAACTTGTGGTATTCGATACTCAATTTGTTTTCCGGTCTTGCGTCGCAATGAACCTAAGTTAGGACAATGAGATGAATATCGATAATCTAATCTATATCTATTTTCGGCTTGCTTTTCAACAATGTAAGAATATATAAAATGGCAAGAAGGTAGGACACAATCTAAAGGTAAAGAAATGTATGCAGACATAAAATTCCAGCAACGTTAAATTTGTGTGATGTTTGCAATGCCACCACTTATTGTGATGAGATAGATATTCTTTCACTTGCAATTCTTCTCACTTTTAGTACACCCATACAAAAGACGATTTTATTTGTCTGTACACTGTGTGTTCAGTTCTACAATTTTAAAACGGCTTGATTTCTTCTGTCACTTCTGCCGTGTTCGTCCGTACGTACATCTCACAAGCAGATATCGATCAAGAACTTTTCTCCTGTCTTTTGGATGCCGATGTGACGCAGCAACTTGTCGGAGCTGTCGATGTTTGTTCAAAAACTTGGGGACCCGACTGGCCTATGTTGCGGAATTTATTTGATCCCTTGATCTAGTTGCACGCCCGACGTCTTGTTTGACGGGACGCAACCCAAATGCGCGAGTAGCTCCACCGGCTCGTCGCCTTCCTTGATCATCTAGAACAACACAAAAACCAAATGAACGTCAAATGGTCGATAGTGTTAATTGCATCCGGCAGAGGAAATAAGTTGAGCAAATTTATTCGTCCAGTCGATGGATTGGATCCTCGACATCAAGCAATCATACTATTCTTAAGACGGTGTGTTTACTATTACATATGTTATACGAGTGACCAACAATATGTTTATACATATACATATCCGGCCAAATCAGCATAGTACTGATTTGACCGATCAACATAGCATACGCTGAGTTATAATGTAACATATATTGTATTATAAATATATTAAAATATGCATAAATATATGCTGGTCAACCCTATAGTATATGCTGATCCATGTTAAATAATCTTTCATGTGTTGGCACTCTTGATTGCAGCACATAAAGATGACAATCCTTGATACATATATACACACATATGTACGGGCATAGAAATTCCCGGAAGAAAATCTACTCGATTCATTCATGGCACGGGAATTAAACCAAAAGCACAGGTTGCATCACTTATCTATAAAGAAAATAAATTTGAAAGCAACGGGTACCTTAATCTGAGCATCCCGGCTGAAACCTTTGTCGACAAGAATATCACGGTCGATGATCTCTGCAGGGATAAGTCCATCATCAAATTTGGCAACGTTTTCTTTCAACGACGCCTCTTGCCCTATCCATACGTACAGTCCAGAGCTAACTGCAGGCATATGTATAATATATACGGATCGAGAATCAAGGATGCTGTGGGAAATGTCCATTTTCTGCATCGACGGCCATTTATAGACTGAAGGATCAATCTTAACAGTCGAATCAACTGAATTGTGGCGAACTGCGCCATACTTCAAATTATCATCTTCTAGACATTTTCCAAAGCTTTCAGATATTCGAGGAGCTTCATTAATGGAAGGCAATCTCATTTGAGGAGCAATGTTACCTCTCCTATGCTCTGGTAGAGAAGGAAAAGCCTCTCCGCTGATCAGGAATAAACCCGCCGGCTTAGAAACAGGAATCGATTCTTTTGACGCAGGCGATGTATTTTCACCAGTAGAAACGACGCCTTCCTCTAATAGACTGTTCTTACAATGATCCATATCGCCGGTGTCGAGCCCATGGGGCGACGGCTGAGCAGATACGTCAGACCAATTAGACGACGAAGGTGAGAAGGAAAATGAACTTGAAATATCCGAGGTCGACGGGGAGAGCGAAGGCGAGGTAGTGTCGGAATTCGGCTTATTGACAAGAAACGACGAAAATGAATCCACCAAACTGAATGACGGCGATCTAGACAAGTTAGCATCCGCTTCTTTATCGTTGCCGTTCGTCCAGCTCGGGTTGCTGATTACAAACGACGAAACTGAATCCGGCGATTCGCACTGACCAATCAAAGGCTCGTCGGAATCTTCAACTTCGTTACAATCGTTCGCTATTTCATTTCCATCGCAGATCTGTACGGCGCTCGGATTCAATTTCGAAGAGGTGATTAGTTCTTTCACAACGCCGAGGGAGAACTTCCGTCTCAATCGATTCCAACCGTTTTCTCGGGCAGGAAGACATGTCTCGGATCCTGCTCCTGACAGCGGAAACGGCGGTACAACTCCGCCGGAAAGCGCTCCATGAAAGATTTCGAAGTCTAGATCATACTCCGAAACCTTCCTTTCATCAACACAAAGATGAACACTCGATTTCACTTGGCAACCATCGATCGAACTCTTGCTGTAGCTAAGAGCATCCCAGAATTCAGACGTTTCTCCACCCTCATCGACAATTTTTACGGGACCTTGCGCTCGTTCATAACGGATAACTTGGGAGGCAGCTGCCCGAGCATTATCCGACATCACCGGGGAGCAATGCTTCCCGATCCAAACGTAAATCGCCGACGGTATATGAATAATGAACGCTCCACGGGAGTCGAGTTTATCCGGACCCGGTTCACCCAACATTTTCGGGACGAGATGAAGCGGATCGTAAGGCGAATGTGGCGCCATTCTATACATTCGGAGGACCGACGTCGGGCTCGCCGGCAACGCGTGCACGCGCTTCTGGCACTGCAGCAATTGGCACGCAAAACCGACGTTTGGGTTCGTCACCCCTCTCGCCGATTTGACGTGCTGAAACGCATCGTCGAAGCTCTGCCTTTCTTTCCACATAAGATACGCAATCACGAGGGAAGTCGACCGAGATACCCCCTGACAACAGTGAACGAAGACGCGCCCGCCTTGCAATCTAACATCCTCAAAATAATCAAACACGTCGTAGAAAATGCTCGTAATGTCCTCGGTCGGGCAGTCCTGCAGCCACAGCGTCTTGTAGACAAGATCGTTCTTGAAATACTCCGGGCAAGAGAACCCGACGCAATTGAGGACGTGCGTAATCCCGTTTCGGCGGAGGATTTCGCGGTCCTTCGCAATTGCGTCGCTCCCTAAATAGATATGATCCAAAATCTTTGAGCATTCTTTGCTGAAAAACGTCAGCTTGTCTTTCCGAAACTCGAATTCTATAGAATTTTGATCCGTCGACGAACTTTCGCGCGGCGTTACGGAGCCTCGCCTTGCGCCGGGAGTCGGCGGATTCGGCCATATCCCGAGATCGTCTGACCCTGCTCTCGGCCATTCCTCAATACTCGGACGCACAATCGACAGAGGCTGAAGCGGCGGCAGACAAGCCCGGGCCTTGCTGTTCCATTGCGGCTTCGCTGGAGTCTTTCTCGGCGGCCGTTCAGTCCATGACATCGACCTCGAGTATTTCCAACTCCCACCGGAGACTTGATCCTTTTCTTCTTCCCTTATCATTTTTAAACTTTTGCTACCACTCTGCAAGAACAGTACAGAAATCCAAACCACATATACATAAATCCTTCAAGGAATCACAATCAAATTTAAGTAAATCAGTTCGTGATAATCACCAGTCAAATTACTGAAGCAATAATTCAACAAAATCTACCATAAGGGTTAAAACCCCCAAACACAAAATTCTGAACAATTCTCCACAGAAACCCTACCAACACAGTCAATTCCATCCCCAAATTCACGCAAACGTCGTATTTCTCACGAAAATTGTTTCAATTTCTGATCTAAAACGTCTGACCGAATATTCTCTACCCGATTCCTCTCCACCCGCTGTAGCAGAGAAAGTTCAAACCTAACTACGGCTAAAGGAACATAAACCCCCAAAAATAGGCAATAATTTCCACAAAAACACCAAAATCAAAACGAAACACAAAAAAAACAACACGCAATCTTAATCTACACAAAAAATCAAAACCAATCTGAACCAAAACAAAGGCCTCCACACTTACCCGAACTGGTTTATGGCCTCCTAACAGCAGCAGTCATTTGATTACCAGGAATACACAGAGGAGACGAGGCTATTAACGCTGAACAGAATTCGAATCGGCGACGGGGACCAATTAAAAACCCCAGAAAAAGGGAAGAGGAAAGGGTAGAAGCACGAAGGATCCGTTGAACGAGAGAGAGAGAGAGAGAGAGAGGAGAGGAGAGGAGAGAGAAAGGAAAGAGGAGTCGCATCCCAGGTAAGGCAAACAACAAAAAGTAAAAAGAAAAACATGTTGTCAATATTATAGATAGATCTGGACAACTTGAATTGGTCAAACTGCCACGTCATCAATTTTGACCCATCGTATACCATTTTTTCATTTTTATTTTTATTTCTTTTTATATATGTTTATGTTTTTTTATGACTTTGTTTATTATTAGATGAGCAAAATCTAAATTAGGATTTGTTGGAGACGAATCCACTTTACTTGTTTTGATTTTATTTAAAGCCATAAATTTTTTGAAAATTTAACTTCAAATTTAATTCAACGTTTTCAAATAGTAAAAATATATAGTTATTTGTGTTTTCAACGATTGTTCATAGTATTTATCAATTTTTTTAAAATTTTATGACAATCCCAAAAAGACCCTAAAATATTTTATCCAAATTCAAAATATTTTTTCACATATTTTGGTTAAAATTTTGATCCCATAAATACACCATCGTCATTTTCAAAATCGTTGTCCTTATTCTTTCCATTTATTTATTTATTTATTTTTATTATTGGAAAGTATATTTGATTTTAGAAATATTATTCATGGATTTCTAAATAAATAAGACTAAATTGCACAAGATCCATACGTGATTTTACGAAATTAGTCAAATACTCTATACTTTTAAAATTGCTTCAAATTTTCTCGTGGTTTTATATACTCAGTATCTAAACTCCTTAACAATTCTTATTTAACGATATTTGACATAAATGCGCTCAAATTGCGAATAAATTTTACAATCTCAATTTTTTAAACTCCTAAAATTATAAATATATTTATTTTTTATCTTTTAGCCTAAAAAACAGTAAAAATAAACTTTTAAAACCTGATAAACATAAATATTTTTGAGTATATTTACTATTTTTTGAGGCTAAATATAAGAAAAATGAATATATTTGTAGTGTTAGGAGGTTTAGAAATCAATATTCTGGAATTTATTCGCAGTTTGGACACATTTATGTCAAATACCGTTAAATAAGAATCGTTGAATGGGTTAAACGCATAGTTTATATAACCACGAGGGAGTTTGACGCAGTTTTAAAAGAATAAGAGATTTGACGCAATTACATAAAACCACCTGTAGGTTTTGTGTAATTTAGCAGGTAAATAAATAAATAAAGGTCACACACAAAATACTTACTCCTTCCGTCGCATAACAAAGTATCTATTTTTCCATTTTTAGTCCGTCTCATAACAAAATATTCATTTCTTTTTTTAGTAACTGTATTATCTACCTAACATTACAAATATTCTTACAACTTACAATATATTACACAAATGTCATTACTCTTGTATCACACTATACTAATAAGGTTATTTTAATTATTTCTACTTTATTCCTACTGCATCTCAATATAATAATAATAATTTTATAACTACGTGCAAAAAACAAATAAATACCTAATTATGAGACGGATGGAGTATTATTTATAACGTGGAGACATGGTAAATTTGATATGATTATTTTTAATTATATCACTTACTCTTTTAGGAAAGCCCTTGAATAATTCAAGTGGTTAATTTCTATATGGGAAATTTTTAAATATATACTAAAACACAATACATGTGCTAATTTATATTAAATTATTCATTCTACCTACAAATTATAATCAATTTAGTGTCTATTTTGTTATCTAACTTTAATTTTAAAAATAAATAAATAAATAAATGAAAAGGACCCAATTTATAAAACTATGGTGGTTTTTTGGTGACCAATTCTCTTAACAATAAATTTATTTTCCTAGTAATGTTTCAATCATTTTTTTCTTCTAATTAATTGGCAATACATATTAAAGAATAGATACTTTTGTTAACTATACCATAATAACAATTATAAGTATCCATAAAATGTACTCCATCCGTCTAATTTTTATTGTCTTAAAGTATATTTGCACGGTTTTTTAGGTGCTTATCTTTTTGTTATGAATTGACAAATTTGTCCGGTAGAGATGAAAAGTAATAAATGAATTGAGGGTAAAAATGTAAAATTTATATTTAAAAAAGAAAATAAGACAATAGTTGTTGGACGTCCCAAATAAGAAAGTAGGACATTAATTTGTGGACGGAGAGAGTATTTATTTTATATAGTCAAATAAAATGGCATGAGTAGGCTGCCAATTGAGACTTTTAACATACATGTACATATATATATATATATTAATGTAATTATCATATAATATTACTATAACTTACTAATAAAAATTGTCACATATTAAAACCTACGTAATTGTATATTATATTCACTAATAGAATGAATTTATTATTTAATGAATTAAATATAGGTGTAAAATGATAATATACTTTTATATATCATATAATTTGATGAATGCATATACGCAATGTTTAAAACTGTCGAAATGAATTGAGTTCGTTTTGTATTATCACAACTTGTCATGTCAATATCTCCTAAATAGTGGGTTTTTTGTTGAATTTATTTATTTTTTTTGTCAAATTTTATATTTCTTATTTTAAATTTTGGTTGTCTAAATAGCTTGAAAATTGATGTTTTAGTGTCTGTTTCTCCAGCCCGATTTTGGGTTGGATTACTGTGTAAACACATCAAAATTTTTCAAACTTCAAAAAAACTCAAATTCAAAAGAAATATTAAAATTCAAATAAAAACCAAATATAAACCCAAATTTTCTCAAAACCTCCTAAAGAAACACACCCTAAATTTTTTAATAACTTTATAATGTATGTCAATGTTATAAAAATAAAATAAAATTTTGATATATGTTTAGAACTAACTGGGTGTGGTTGATTATAATCTCAAACTAAAATTAATACTCCATCCGTCCCAGATACCATGTCCACGTTGCCGTTTCTGTCCATCCCACGTACCATGTCACTTTCTTTTTTTGGAAAATGATCACACACTTTAATCTCATTTTAAATTTTTAATTTTTTTAAATTTTAATTAAACTAATTAGTTATCTTAATCTTAATTTATAATTATTTATATTATAGAATAATTATTTTCACTAATACATTTTTAATTATCTACTAATTACACCCATCCTAAAATACCATGTCTACAGTGTAGCAGACACGGTATCTAAGAACAGAGTGAGTAGTATTTATCTAATACAGTTTTTAATAAATATATATTACTATTTTCTATAATATATTAAATCAAAATATTATTTAAATAATAAAAACTCAAATTAACTTGCCAAATCATAAATTAGACTAGATTTTGTAAGTTGATTTGTTTTGATAAATCCACTTGCCATGTAAATCAATGTTATTTATCTTTTAAATCCAAAAAATCATTCTAAGAATTAATAATATAATTTATATTTACTTATCTATGATAAATGTTTTGATAATAATAATATTTATTAAAACACTGTATCAAATACCTTTTTTGTTGTTATAAAATATTACTCTCTCCGTCTTCGTACGTCTTTAATAGTCACATTTACATTTTGTGTCATTGTACCTAATATTAAAAATATTTTTATATTTGTATAATTTTTTTTTTTTACAAATGTCATTCTATTAGTATTATAAGACACTAATGAAAATATTTTTGCAATTTTTTCTTAATTTATACTACGTTTTAATATAATAATTAATATACAAAAATCAATTAGCATTAAGTAAATGAAATCTAGAGCTGAAAGAAGATAGTATTAACATTTATTTATTTATTATTATTGTTATTAAATATTCTCAAAACTTTAAAACAAATTACTAATATCATTCAATTATATATTCTAAATATTATATGCAATCCAAGTATAATTTAAAATTTGTGGAGGAATGGATCTTACGAGTCAAGGGAGGAGGCTAAATGATAAATTAATAAATTAAATTAAATTTAAATTTCTAAAATTGGTCCTCACCCCATCAGCTGCGGGCCCATAAAATAATTCATATTCCTTCAATATATTATTAGACAAAATAAAAATATATGTGGTTTTTACATATATACCCATAAAGATATTTTGCATATAATATTTTTAATACTTCCTTCGTCCCATGAAATATTGGACTATTACTGTAGATATGAGAATTTAGGTAAAGTATAATTAGTAAATAATTTAGAAGTGTATTAGTAAAAATAATTATAAATTAAGATTAATATAAGTATATAGTTTAATTAAAATTAAGAAAATTATAAAATTTAAAATTTAAAATGCGATTAAAGTGCATAATTATATTTTCAAAAATAGAAAGGACAAATGATGTGGAACAAACGAAAATAGAAAATATGAACAAATTATATGGGACAGAGGGAGTAAAAAATAACAAAGAATAGTAGAACCCAAACAAACAAATCAAACAAATATAAAACTTAGAATTAGTAAGACTCCATCCGTCCCATATCTATATACAAATAATAATAATAATAATAAAAATAAGGATAGCAGGATCAAGGAAGTTAAGACACGTGAAAAAGAAGAAAAATTTGCGTCCAGGTAGGTTGATCCTCCGTCGGTTGGTCCGCAGTCGGGTTGGTCAGGTCGGTTGGCCCTCGGTCGGATCGGCAGGTCAGAAGGTCTGCAGTCGGATGATCAGGTCGGTTGGTTAGCGGGTCGGATGGTCCATAGGTAGGAAAGTCTGCAGGTCGGAAGGTCTGCGGTCGGATAGTCAGGTCGGTTGGTTAGCAGGTCGGATGGTCTATAGGTCGGAAAGTCTGCAGGTCCATTGGTCAGCAGGTCGGATAGTCAGGTCGGTTGGTTAGCGGGTCGGATGGTCTATAGGTCGAAAAGTCTGCAGGTCGGTTGGTCAGCAGGTCAGATAGGTAGGTCGGTTAGTCAGCAGTCGAAAGTCGGTTGGTACGTGGTCGGACTAAGTAAAATCGGCTGCCCACTTAAGTGAACAGTAGTTTGGTCGCTTGGTTGGGGCAGCCAAGGAGTCTTTTGGTCTAGCGACTAGTTAATCGCTGGATTAGTTGGTTGGGTTATGCAGTTGGTGAGACGGTTGCTGTAACTGACCAGGCGACGTTTCAAAACGTTTCGTCTTGGGCGGTTGACGGCGGTTGCTGGCG